AGACTGAGCATTAACATTCATAGTTCAGGAAGAAGACAAGGAAGACCAGTTGCTAGGAGTTAAAAACTAACTGGAAGACAGAGACACAGCCCAAAAATCTTTCTCTATAACTCCAGACCAGGAAATTCAGCAAATGATGGTCACATTATCAAAACAAAGAAATGGACGAGCTCACTGCAATCCAAAAGTTTGGCTTCATTGCTTGTGTGGCTGTGAGACTGAACAGAATTAGAAGCTGCAAGTTCAAAGAGGGTGCTTCCCTTCCTATCTTTTCTTTTCACAAAGCTATTCCTCATCTACCTCAATCCTCCCTACCCCTTTGGTTTCTTGAATTATCAACAATTTAACTGGAGCAATTTTACTCTTTGTAAAAGCCACTAGGCTTAGTTTAATTGAACCAGATCAGACTGAGTTCACAAATTACACTAATCCAAAATATGATTTGCTTGATTTGGGTTTGATTTGTATAAACTCAACTATTATGGATTGTAAACCAGGATTGTGCTTTAGCACATATGAGGCCAGCCAACTGTGGTTTACGCTGCAAACCAAAGTATATATCAGACCTGGTATAGTTAAGAAATTTATCAAAGTTGGACAGAAGATATTGACAACCCCAATAGCTCAGTAGAACTGTCTTCCTCTGTTTGGGCTCTGACAAGTTTCTCTGGTTTAGCAAATATTCTCCAGAAGAGAAGCTGCTGGAGGGCCTGGAAGCATGTTATGGCTTGTGGTAATAAGAAAGCTTTCATAACATGAATCTACTTCTACCATTCCTGAGATTAATCACCTGTATTTGTTACTGTTGTGGGAACAACATTCCTTTCAACCTTCAGGAATAATAACTCATAAAGTCTGAAGCCCTGATGCATTTCAAATAAAGACTGCAAGCCCAATGATAAGATAGCAGCAATAGATAGTTGCTATTGGTTCTGTAGCTTTGCCACAATTGTGCTTATTGTGCTTGTCTTTGAGCAAATATCCCAGGGCACCAACATATCAGCCAGCATTGCCGATACCCAAACAAGTTTTACAACTGTAAACATAAATTCTATATGCTAGAAACGGGGCAGAGAGGAGGGTTAGCAAATTATCCCTCTTCCTATTACATCATTTCCGGTCCATTTAATTTTAGTTTCAAGCCTGCAATCACTATCTTGCTCTGTGCTGGTTATTATTTGCACACTATCTGGAAAGGAGTCCAAAGGGATGCTTAGTATATTACAATAATTTCCAGGAACTAGACATAATATATATGCAGATTTTAGTTAATGCTAGTGTTTTCTTTTTTTATCACTTGTTCTGCCTTTCTTCTTATTACAGAATATCCACCCCAAAAAAAGGGGGGGGGAATGATTTATTTTATTGTGGATTTTTTGAGTAAGCCATTGTTGGCAAGATTCACACAGCTCTCCAAAATAAAGAAGGCAGAATTATGGCTTGGTGCTAAGGACGAATCCGTCCAATCTCTTTGTAGGTATGGATAAAAATATATGTAGTTTGTCCCTGGGAAAGTAGCATTTTCCATCTTTTCATCAATGCTACCTACTATTTATATCTCAGGGTCAGAAAAAAATGAAACCATCAAGTTCTTTTACTTGACTTGGTTGTAGATCAGACATTCTCAGGTCAATCTACGAGTATTTGTAGTGATTCTTAACCCTGTTTGAAAATAAATTTAGCTTTAGGCCTCTGGCTTCATGTTGTGATCAGAGCTACAGATACGTAGTATCAGAAAAATGGGTGGATTGACCACTGAAGAGGAAGAAAGGTAAAGTGAAGGAAACAATATTGCCCACATAGTTTTTTCTGCTCAGTTGCTAGAACAGGGTGAGACACCCTGAGAAGCACTATCTGCAAAGTAGTTTGATCCCCGATAATTTACTGTAAATTCACTGCTAGTTTGCAAGCTTGCACTGCTCTGAATGATAGACTATGAGCCTTCTGTTGGGAGTATTGTAAGAGTACCAAGCCATAGCAAGACAAGATAATCCCACTTCTACAGCAAGATGGAGACTTACTGAAACATGCAAATATCACAGAACAGATTGGCAGGTATATAACAAACAGGCAGTGGCATTACTCATTCCATATGAATTCACTTAAATTCCATTCTCCAGAAATACTTTAACATGTTGCTGTCATAAACCAGAAATGTACTTGAAGTTTTCTTAAAGCTGCAACCCAGTCATAGCACTGAAGAAATGTCATTTCAAAAAAATGATAGATATCAAAGCTATAAAACAAAGAATAAGCATCTTGATAAAGATGCCCGAATAATTATTTGAAACATTAATAAGTATTTGTGATTTATTAGTAGTTATTGCTTTTTTAAAAAAAGGTACTGCCTATAGAGAATTTTGTACAATTTCTATCTCTGTTGGACCTTAACAGGCCAGGTTTCTGCTACATGGATGTATTTTTTTGTAATTTTAGGCACTGTATTATCAAATGTTATATAACTTCAGATATTATCACATCCTGTAAAACACGTCTTCACATTTTTGTAATTTTAGACACAATCTCTTTTATAGCCTAGATGTCGAGTGTTCCTTTTGGATTTTACTCTGTGGTTCTATAGTAGCCAGGTTGTATTATAGATGTATTTTAATTTTATCTCAAGTTTAATTTACTGGTTTCTTGAGATAGATTTATAAGTGTTCAGAGATCACTCATGGACATACTTGTTCTGGTCTAACAATGCGATCAACTGACTGACTGAATTCTTACGTCACTTTGCCTCTTTGCAGAAATCCTGGAAAGGCATTGACACACTTATTTTATAGAGGAAATCCTAATGTTAGGTAGTTGCAATTTCTAGAAATCCTTCAAGACTGAACAAGGGTTTGAACACAAGTGTAAACAGGTTTCCTCCCCTCTTTCAACTGGGCTGCTCTGGCTGTCTGATCATATTTTAATCCAATGCTGGATCTGAAACTTAAACAATCCTCATAACCTGGTGGTTCATGCTGATATCAGGGTGGAGACTTGCTATGGGGCTCAGTTGATAAACATTGTTCCAGAAACTTACAGTATTTATCACTGGCTGGAATCCTACTGAGTATGACTGCATCATTTCTTTTCAATATAAAAAGTATTTTAAAAAATAGACATACAAGGCCTACCGAATCTTGAACCCTTTCAATCCTGACATAAAATTTGAAAGACAAGCAGTAAATTTCCATATTGCATTTATAACTACATGAAGCCCATTATTTAAAATCATCTCATGAAGTGGACCGAAAGGCTGCATTATGCTTTTGCATCCATCAGGTGCCAAAGGACTGTAAGTGATTTTAAAGTACCATGAAAAATGTTTTTCTTGAATGTTTGTGGTATTATATTGTAATATATTTCATGTATACCAGTATATTGTAATTACAATTGGAACCAGGACCAATCAAGGATGTGGACCTCTTTTACCAATTGTGCTAAAATAAGCTGCAGTTTTTGTACCCCATCATATAATTCTGGCCTTACAACTTTAGCAAAACATCGTACAAAGAAGTCATAGAAAAACAGTTCTGCTATATTACAGCATTAGAAAATGAATCAGCCCCGAGTTTGTTTTCATTTTGCTTAGTACACAGACCATCTTGAACCTTTTCTTATATTTTTCCACAGCAATGCTAATATATTCCAACCGCTTGTTTTATAACAGATCCTTTTAACCAAAAATAGCAATCAAATGGGACTTCTAAATAGGGCCATTCTTTTCTCTAGACAATTAAATCAGGTTACGCAGTAAAACATTTTGGAAAACTTAAAAATTCTGAGATGCTTAATGTTTGTTTACTTGGCAGCATACTCGCATAAAAATATAAGGCAATATTTAGAAAATTCAGATACTCGGAATGCTTAGACATTTCATATCAGAAGTTTTGAAATTTAGCTATGTTCTTTAATATAGAGATACAGAGTGGTTTGATTGTTTATGGTTTGATAAAAGTCAGGCAATGTTTTACTTCTCCTTTTTGTGCCTGGCCAGAAATATTCATATCCATATGATTTGTTAACAGCCTCCCTGTGTATACTTGGTATGACTTCATTAAAGTGCCTAATGAGCAGCCTGTCAAGGCTAAGATAATAATTTATAAAAATATCCTGTTCTTTCATGTGATATTTGTATCTAATTCCAAGGTCCAAAAGGTGTAATCATACTATGCCCTCACTGTAAGCTTGTAATTTGTGGGTGAGAAAGGAAAACTCTTGTGTTTATGCTTCCAGGCAGTTAAATATTCAATATGGATGAGAGATCCTGCTATTAAACCTTATATCAAATTATCCTAATTAAAGTCAAGCAACAATTATGGTCAACTGTTCTATTTGTCTAATGATATAGTGATTAATTCCCTGGATTCCATATCAGAAAACACTTAAGAAAACTTTCTTCTACTGGAGAGAAAAAATGGGGGGGGGGAGAGAGGGAGGGAGAGGGGAGGGAAGAAATGGGAAGAGGGGGAGGGGGTGGGAGAGAGAGAGAGAGAGAGAGAGAGAGAAATGTATCTTGCAATATTTGCTACTGAAATTCATGTACCATCGCCGCCACGCAGGCAAAGGATAACTGCGAAGTTCAGAAAAACGGGTTCCATACAACTCAGCTTCTCCTCTCGTTAGGAACCGGCTATTAGAAGGTCATTGGACAAAAACTCCGACCAGACTGGTAGAAAGAAATCCCAACCGATCCATATTCGGCAAAGTTGTGTAAACCGAAAATAAAATACCGAGGCTTCCCTCCCCGAGGCAGAGCGTTCCCACGCTCAGGAAACTTGCTGTCCTGGATCTTTAGCATTAAGGCAGGGATGGGTTTATTATGGCACACCGACGAGGCTGAGAAAACGCTGCCCTTTCCCCCCCCGTTTTCTGTACTGAACTTCCTCCAAGGTTGAGTTTCGGCTGCAGCGCTCCCTTTTCCAGGTAAGAAGAGTGCAAAAAAATAAAAAATGGTCTTCCGAGAGTTTCCCCCCGTTTCTTGTGGGGGACGCAACTACAGTACTCACCTCCGTTGGATCAGGCAGGCGGACCCTCCTGCTTCGCCGCCGGTCCTTGTCACACTTCTCCCGCTCGCGATTCCCTCGTCCTCTTCAGTCGGCCCAGAGTCCTGCCATGCCTGGGCCCTCGTTCCCGAAAACAAACAAACAAACAAAAAAAGCAGGGTTGTCGTCGTCCTGCGTTGTCCTCTTCCCTCAGGCGCCGCTGGCTTCTCCTCTTTTCTCCGCGTCCGGAGGAACAAGCGTCGCCGTGAGCAGGTGGAAGGAGGCGGCTTTCTTCGCCTAGCTAGAAAAAGAGGCGGGGTGGTGGAGGAGGACGAGGAGGAGGAGTCGCTGGGGCCGCAGCCACAGGTTACTCCCTTTCCCTGGCAGACCGGCCTGGGATCTCTGGTGACTCCTGGCGCGACGCTGCTGAGTGCCGGGCTGGCCTCCGCTTTGGAGCCCCGTTTTATTTCCCCGAGATTTCGGGGCGGGGAGGGGAGCCATTACTTCTCTGCAACCCTCCCACCGCACTTTCTTGCCCCTCTTGTTAAACTTTTTTCACGCGGGAGGAAAACTGAACTACACAACATACACGCGCAAACACACAGATACACGAGCGCGCAAACACACACCGCCAGCCGCGGCTGGAAAACGTTGCCACACGAGCGCCAGGCTGCTGCCGTGAAAGGCGGCTCCCGGGCTAGAGGGCTGCGTGCCAAGGCTGCTCCCGAGGGGCATCGTTTTCCAGCTTTGCGCGCGGATCCTAGGCTCCTCCGGGGCTCATTGCACCGCTCAGACCTGGCCTGTGGAGCCTCTCTGCCCAGCAAGGGCCTGACATGAGGAGCAGACGGAGGGAGGGAGGAGTGGGTGCTCCTGCCCAGCCCGGTGCGGTTCTGATGGAAGCGGGGTGGACAAGGCTGCCTTTCAGCACAGCAGGCCTTGGCCTGGACCGGAGTTGGAGGCGGGAGAGAAAGTTAACAGCTCAAGTCTAGGCATGTTTTCTGAGAAGGAGGCCGGCTAAAGTTGACGCCGTTAATTCCTCAGTAGAAGCGGCCTTGCTTTTGGTACTTTAATACTGTATGTATGTATAAGTAGCTGGTTTCCTAGAAGCGGATGCCGTGCAGAGTCTGCCTAGTTACGGCAGTGTTTAGAGGGGAGATGTGTAGGGATACCAGGGTGTACATTAAATTCTCCTGGGAAGTCAGAGAAAGGTCAGTCTTGGTGTCAAGAAAACACAAAATCGCCAGGACTTAAACTAAACAACCTAGAAATAAGAAGAAATGTTCTAAGGGTGAGAGCAATCCACCAACGGAACAGCTTGCCTTCAGAAGTTGTGGGAGCTTCATCACTGGAAGATTTCAAGAAGAGACTGGACTGCCATCTGTCAGAAATGGTGTAGGGTCTCCTGTTTAGGCGGGGGGTTGGACTAGATGACCTACAAGGTCCCTTCCAACTCTTATTCTGTTCTGTTTTAACTCAGGCTCTGAGTGACTTCATTTTTAAATAGCCTGCCAGCTGTTGATCATCTTCTACCACAAGGAAGAGGTGAGCTGGATGGCTCCCTTTGCATTTCTTTACCATTATCCATGATGCATGTTTATCATTGATTGGAAACCCCATACGGACCTTTTGTGTAAAACAGAAAAAAAATCAATTTATAATTTAGATTAGACAGGACAGACTACAGAAAGTTCAATTGTAACTGTAAACCGTCTGTTTAGTCTTTCAAACAAATTGGGATTTTTATAAATTTACCTCTTGTTCTACGGTTACAATTGAACTTTCTGTAGTCTGTCCTGTCTAATCTAAATTATAAAGACTAAACAGACCAACAGAAGATGGCACATTCCACATTTGTTTAGTTCCTGCCACTGACAGGAGGTGGTAAACAACAATGGATAAACACCAATACACTACTTATTTATGATTAAGCACCTTAATCTGTAGAGGAGTTTGCATCAAGCTTGGGGGGCCCTGCTGCCCGGTTTTGTTTATTCTGATTTGCAATGCTTCTCCAAAGTCAGGGATGGAAAAAAAGAAAGTTTTCTCCAGTTTGTCACTTATAAAAGTGCTGTGGCTTGAAATTGAAATCTTGTACGTGTATCTTTTTAGTGACAGTGGTGCTGCTTTTCCTGGATGATGGGGGCATTGGAAAACTGCCATAAGGTTTACACAGAGCCTGACTCTGCTAGGAATGACATGTGCCCTTCTTCACTAAGCAGCAATTTGCTCTTGCAAATTAGAAACCAATTTAATTTTCATTATAAAGGCAAACTGATGTTCTCAGACTAATAAATTACAGTATACTGTTCCAGGAAAGAAAGAAGGGAGGAAGTTAATTGAATGACTTCAAAGATTGTGATATCCAGATGCACCTGAAAGTGCCTTACCATGGCTTCTTGATACCAATAGCAGTATGAATTGTTCCCAGATTCCCCCCAGAGTCTTTTTAATTTGCAAGGGGAGAGGGAATGTGCTCAGAACATGTTAAATTGACAGATTTCTCAAGGGTACAATGGTAGATGTAGACATACAAGAGACCCACATGATTTCAGCGCATGAAGGAATTTGAAGAGTGTGGGAAAGGAGATGCCTATTCGACATCCTGTCCAGAGTACACTTTGGAGGTTTACACTCCAATCCAAGCAGTGGACAGTGAAAGAAAGAACTGAGATCTTTTAATTCTAGGCATATGCTTACTCTCCCAGAATCAGATTAGTGGATAGAACAGATTTATTTACATTAATATATAATAATGCCATAGATGAATCAATTTGCAATATCCTACTCATTTTTAAATGCCTCTAATAAGAGGTGGAAGAGTTATAGTTGGCGGATTCCTAATTCCAGAATAAGCTTGTGTTTATTGCATTATCTATGACTTGAACACCGAAATTGTATCTGTGTAGGCTGATTTCTGTTTGGTCTGATTCTCTTATTTTCTGCACATTAAGACTTTTCAAACCCAGAGAATGTATTATTGAGGTGAAGAGAGCCCTTAAGTTGCCTTTAGCGCACATAACTTATTATGTTGTGGACAGAAATTTGCTTACTGCATCTTATGAAATCTAGTACTTTGCTTTGTTTTAATTTCCCTTCATTTTGTTTGGTTTGGAAATAGCAAAATAATGCAAAACAGCAAAGCCTTATCTCTATAGGACATCTTGTTTTTTTTCTTCTTTAAAGCAAAATTTTAAATTAAGCTAATGATAGTAAACCAAATTGTGTGTAGAATAAGGTTTTTTCCTTGAAGCAACCACCACCCAAAGCAAGATTTTGACATCTAAAAAGCATATGCTTCTTTATTTTTAATGCAGCTTTAATTTAAACTTGCTTATCCTGTTCTAGAAGGGTTAGGCTTTTTAATTAGACACTTAAAAATGTTAGTGTGTTTAGCAATTATTGTGACTTCACCGTGACAATTCATGTTCATATATACAAATACCAGATGAAGCATAGTATAGAAATATTTGGGAAATCTACTCCATGGTTCAGTTAAAATTATTTAAGGTTACAGTATTTCACTTTGATACAGGAAAGCACTTCTAATATGCTTAGTAATCAATGTAAACCATTTTTTCCAATCTGATACTCATTACAGTTTTCACATTTGGCTGGGAATTGCAGTCACAAAATACCTGAAGGGTACTAGATTGCTTTAAAACATTTATTAAATGTTGTGTATGCGTATTTGAAAATATTATATATGCCCTTTAGATTAGTTTCTGAGCTATTAAGATACTGCTTTGTTTTATACAGATAGATTACATAAAAAGAATGGACAGTTTAGCAGTATCCATCTGTAAAACATTTAGTGCATCAGTATGAATATTATTAATGCTATATATTAGATAAAAAACATGAACATATAAACAACAGTTCTCAGTTTTTTAGCTAGAGTTGGCTGTCAAATGCATCAAGTTCTTCCCACGAACCTAGCTGCCTAGCATGTTGTAATGTATTTGTGTGTATATATTGGAATCCAAAGTGTGGTTTTTTGCAATTAATGATCATTTTGTCAATGCACAGATTTTCTTAAGTGTTGTCCAAGATTTTTTGGTAAAGTACACCCAGTTTGCCAATAACCACAGGCACCAATATAACCAAGTTTATGCCATAATATTTCAACTTTGATTTTCAAATCTTGATACTTTGTGATCTTCAGTTCTTTTGTCTTCTGTCTTACTATCCCGATATTGCCACATCAATTATCCATACTTTCTTCTTTAACTACAGTTAAATCTGATGTGTTATGGAGCAAAACTATCACTTTGTCTTTGCAAATCCCACATTTTAACCTGCTCACCTTCAAATATTTTTCGACTCTATGTTGCCACCTATTTTTCATTACTGGCACATTATAATTTTTACAAAGTTCCAGTGAATCATTTTGGTGTCTGTGTTATAGCATTGTTTATAATCAGTTTGTGCAATCTTCCTACCAAAAAAAAAAAGTGGGGAGATTTTGGATCCACCTATTCCGGGAATGTTTTGAGAATTGCAATCTAAATGTTTCCATGGTAGTAAATGCTATTGATCATAATGAAAAATATTTATGTAAACATGCACTTGAACATATGCCAAAATTCACTGAGAGTTACAAATCACAATTGTTGGGCTGGTAAGTGTAATTATAAAATTATATGTCATTCTTCTCGTTTCCAAAGTTTGGCTCATTCTGATTTAATCAGCACTCATTCTAATTAATTGAACATTCCTGCTGCATTGTTCTGAAATGTCAGAAATAATTATATGTTAGGCATTCTTATTATAATCTTCACAAAAACTTGAACTTTCCTCTATCTCTGGTCCTAATACATTAATACAAGGCACTTCCAGAGAGTCAGCCCTACAAAAATGATAAATGTCTGCAATCAAATTTGAAATAATTCCAGGCTTTTACAGCTATAGGACTCACTAAACCCTAAACTTGACATTTCTCTTTCCTAGATTAATCACAGCTATGCCTTTTGTGCAATGCTCCATTATCTATAAGAACTCCATAATATTTAGCACAGACAAGATAGACTTACATTCTACATTCGACTATCATTGTTATCAGAAAAACAATAAGAGACACACATTAAATATATAATCTATGAAATATTTATTTATTAAAAAGAGATATAAAAATATAAATACAGTAGTTTTGGGAGAAAAAAGTCATATCAGATCTATATATCTTATTTTTGTTAAAAAACACAAAACAAGTATTTATAAAAGAAAACTGGAATGTTGCAAATTAACATACATAGAGAAAGACAAAAGGTAAAATTCATATTATACATAGTTTCTAGAAAATTCATTTATATCTTACTTTTCCTTAGGATTACAAGAAACACGAATGGATGATAAAATCACCAGAAATGCTCTTAACTATACTCAAAACAAATAACAATTTGAGATATTCTGAAGGGGGAAAACATGTTGAAAAAGAATTATTCCAGGTATTCTATAAGACTTATAAAGTGAAATAATTCTCAATCTAATATTCTTGAAATGAAACTTTGAAATGTGTTATTATGCAAACAAGAATGCTAACAGGTTTTAGAAAGATTATACATAGGTCAGAAGAGCACACTACATCTTTTAAAAACTGTAATGTACTGAATAAGTCTACTAGCAGGATTTACATACTAACCTACATTATAAACCGTGGCCTTTAAATGTATCTCACATTCTACTAAGCAAAAAGCAAAGGAACCACTTTTTATTTTAGTATAATGTGTAACTTCTGTCTATGATATGGCAGATTCTGATGTAATATTTAATATTTTCTCTTTCTGCTGCACCTTGCAAATCAGAATTAGAAAATATCATAATTCTAATTGCAGGCTAATTGATGATTTGTTGGCCTGGTGCAGATACAACAAGAAAAAATATACTTGCCACAAAAATTTGAGCCTGAGGCTACCTAATTTTAAGATATTAACTCTGAATAAATGTGCATACACCCTATTTTTCAGACTATAAGACACACCAAGAAAAAAGCTGGTTGGGGGTGGATCGGCTTCCCGGAATACCCCCAATCAGCTATTCCCAGAGTTGAACTTTAGCAACAGGTTCATTGGTTGTGAGCTCTGCGCCTTGCTTTTTTTTCAGCCACTGAAATCTCCGTTTCAGAGGCTGGGTGGGACTACATTCGGACTATAAGATGCACCCAGATTTTCACCCTCTTTTGGGGGGTAAAAAGGTGCGTCTTATATTCTGAAAAATACGATAATTTTGGATTCCCGCAATACGCTTTACATGGGGCTACCCTTGAAGAATATTTGGAAGCTACAATTGGTACAGAATGCAGTAAAATAATCCGTTCTGACCACCCCAGGAGGTCACACATAATACTGTGTTGTGTGACCTCCACTGATTGCCAGTTTGCTTCCAGGATCAATTAAGCTGTTGGTCATCACCTTTAAAGCCCTTCATGGAATAGATCAGGTTAGCTGAGGAACCATCTCACCCCAATGGGATTGGCCTGCCCCACTCAATCTGTCAGAAGCAGCATGCTCTGCATCCTATAGGTCAGAGTTTCAGCTGACAGGGATAGTTTGAGGTCCTGATGGGGATCCTTCATGTTGGAGGAGGCTGGTGGCCTAATAGGGAAGACGCCACCTCTGTGCTGTCCTTGTCATCAGTTTTTTTAGTTTGTATACATTGTTGATATTTTAATACTTTAATATCTACGATTTAAACTGTAAGCTGTATACTGTATACTGCACGAGACAAAAAGAGGGCTGTGAAAATATTTATGGACCCCTCACATCCTGGACATAAACTGTTTCAACTCCTATTCTCAAAGCAACGCTATAGAGCACTGTACACCAGAACTAGATAGAAGAACAGTTTTTCCCCGAACACCATCACTCTGCTAAACAAATAATTCCCTCAACACTGTCAAACTATTTACTAAGTCTGCACTACTATTAATTTTCTCATCATTCCCACCACCCATCTCCTTCTACTTATGACTGTATGACTGTAACTTTATTGCTTGGATTCTTACGATTTATATTGATATTGTTCCTGATTGCTTATTTGTACCCTATGACTATCATTAAGTGTTGTACCTTATGATTCTTGATGAACATATCTTTTCTTTTATGTACACTGAGAGCGTATGCACCAACACAAATTCCTTGTGTGTCCAATCACACTTGGCCAATAAAATTCTATTCTATTCTATTCTATTCTATTCTATTCTATTCTATTCTATTCTATTCTATTCTATTCTATTCTATTCTATTCCATTCCATTCCATTCCATTCCATTCCATTCCATTCCATTCCATTTGCTTTAGAAAGTGAGGGTGGTATATAAATTTAATAAATAAATAAATATTCCTCCTGCATTGGCCTGCGTATTTAAAGAAATATTTTCCCCTTGAAAAACAGCTTGTTTTTTGCCACAAACTTGCAAACTTTCATTGCAGCACAGGTCATTATAGTAAATACTCTATGCTGAAAATGGGCCAGCAGAACCTGTTTAACCAACGTCTCAGGCAACTTTGGTATGTCACATGGAACAGAATTGCCAGGACATCTCCTTTGTGTAATTTTTAAATGTTGCTTCCATTGCAAGAAAATGCAGGAAAAAAACCATGTATACAAGCATCAACATGATTTAGCTGACAAAGGCAGCAATTGCTATGATTTGTAGAATTCCTTCAAGTCCATATGCAACAAGCAGCACCACATTAATAATGACATCTGCTCTCAGGATATACGTTTGCCACACTAGAAAGTAGACTGACAGAAGCACACTGCCAACAGTGATACCGAGACTGATCCCAAGGGGAGCTTCCTCTTCTCTCAAGTTGCCTTTGGTACCTAATAGGGGGAGAAAAGGACATACATGCACCTGATGGTATTTATGAATCTGTTAGACCATAACAGTAGAACTCTGAAACTGAACAGGAATTTAATTTACAGAGGGGGGTAAATCACTTATAATGCAGTCTTAAATAGAAAATAACCTTAATAATGTTAGAATTATTAAAGGTAAAATATCTGGCTGGATCTAAAGCTTTCATACTTCTGGAGTACTGCTGAGTAGGGTTCTGCTAAGAACTTTTTTGTGACTGGAGACATGTTTCTTGTTTATTTGTTCATTAATTCATTTGTCCATTCAATTTCTTTGACTGCCCATCTCAGTTCAGTTGATTCTGGGCAGCTCTTCCTTCAATAGCTGTATTGGCATGTAATGCTAAGGAGATGCTACATATTTAGACAGGTCTTAAGATGGAGCAGGAGGAACAGTTGTGGTTCATTGTTCTCTTCTGCCTGGCAAGCTCATTGCCAAAGAAAACCCCATTAGTCTATGGCACAGGTGTCAAACTCACAGTGTCACATTGCCGTCATGTGACGTTTCATGTTTTTCCCATTCGTGGAGCTGGGGTGCAACTGGCCCACAGGCTGCCAGTTTGATGCCCCTGGTCTGTGGGATACCAGCTTCTTGTAAGCTATGCAGCTACTATCCTTTATGTAGCAACATATTACAACTTTTGTCTGTAATGATCCAGTATAGAATGTTACAGAAGGAACTCTTGAATACAGGTAGTCCTTGACTTAAGTGAATCATTGCAGTTATTAAGTTAGTAACCCAGTTGTTAAGTGAATCTGGCTTCCCTATTGATGTTGCTTGTCTGAAGGTCGCAAAAAGTGATCACATGATCCCAGGACACTGCAAGTGTCATTACAAGCCAGTTGCCAAGTGTCCAAATTTTGATCACGTGACCATGGGGATGCTGCAACAATTGTGTGAGAAATGGTCATAAGTCACTGTTTTCAGTGCTGTTGTATCTTTGGTCACCAAATCAATCAGAATAGAGCCGGAAGCGACCTTGGAGGTCTTCTACTCCAACCCCCTCCTCAAGCAGGAAACCCTATACCAGTGATGGCTAACCTTTTTGTCATCGCGTGCTAGGGGTGGGGGAGGGGGGTGTCGCATGTGTGCGTGCCTGCACCCATAATTCTATGCGCCCTGCCCCCAAGCATGTGCACGTGACCCCACCACGCTCCCCCCACTCCTGGCACGTGATGGCATGGTAGGCCCATTTTTCCTCTCTCCCTAGCCTCCAGAGCCTTTCTAGGAATCTGGGGAGGGCGAAAATGGCTCCCCCCCCCAAGATCCTCCAGAGGCAGGAAACAGCCTGTTTTCCTACTTCTGGTGGGCCCAGAAGGCCCAAAAATCAGCTGTGTGCACCGGAGCTGAACTCACGTGCCCACTGATATGGCTATGTGTGCCACCTGTGGCACATGTGCCATAGGTTTGCCATCATGGCCCTATACCATTTCAGACAGGTGACTGCTCAGTCTCTTCTAAAAAATGTCCAATGATGAAGCACCCACAATTTCTGAAGGCAAACTGTTCCTAATAATCACTATTAGGATGTTTCTCCTTAATTTCAGATTGCTTCTCTCCTTGATTAGTTTCTATCCATTGTTTCTTCATCTTGCCTTCTGGTGCTTTGGAAATAAGTTGACCCCCTCTTGAATGAATGAATGAATGAATGAACGAACGAATGAAATGGCTATACATTGAGGACTACCTGTAAAGTCAAATTTCATAATAGCGGCAAGTACTCTGCTTATCTAAAAAAGAAGATAATTTAAGCTGTACAATTTATTCTATGGCTGCTTAAACTGCAGATCCAGACCTGGAATCTAGCAATGGTCTTTCATTCTACAGCACTTTTGACTATTCAAGTGGTTTGAAGAATTTCTCTCCAACCCCCCAAAATAGGTCCTTCCTTTTTGTCACATTTTCTTCTTCTCTAGTGGCCTACACAAAGAATACTGCTATATACAATAGTTGTCATTCTCCAATAGTTATTTTTTAAAATAGAAATTTTATACAGAGTAAGTCACACTGAACTCTTTCTGAGCAAAATAGCTGAATTAGCCAGCAAAAAAACTTATTTTTATATTAGAGTAATGTCTCTAATATAAAATTTGCACTTTCACCCAACTAGATTGACCAGTCTTTTAATGTTTAACAGTAAAAGTATTTAAAAGGCTTATCAGATACGAGTAATTGGCTAGTTGTCTTGAATTGCTCAGTTGGACTCATATTTTTACATACAGATTAATATTAAGGGGTGGTTGTAAATTACATAATGCTTACCAAAGTACAAGCGGATAACTTCGAGAAGTGCCATAAAGAACAGCAATACAAGATCAAGAGTCAATAAACTATATGGATAAGTGAAAATCTGACCTGACAGTAAATAAAATATAAAAGGGAGAGAAAAATCAAGTTAGCGTATATCATGTTGACAAGAATCAGCAGAACCATCTCTTAACTGTGTATTTTAAACAACTTACTTTTATAAATAATCATTAGAAGTGCTGCTAAAAAATAAAATACATAATAAATTCCATCTAAAAAGAAAAGGATCTGTAGGGGAACAGATGACAGCTAGCAGGTTCCGTCAAGGAAAATTATTTATAATTATATTTTTCACATTTTATTTATGTCGGATCATAATTCAGTGTTATATACTATAAAACTGCACTGCCACTCAGTACATCAAGTGGTAGTATAAACTGTACTTAAATCAGTAGTCCATTTCCAAAGATTGATAATAAACTTAGGCTTGGATAAGTATAGCAGAGTGAAGTAACTGCGCTTCAGTTGAGTAGGAGCCACAGGCAACCCAACTACACCACATTTCAGTAAGCAGTCTTAAAAAAAAATCTTTTTGAGGAATGGCTGCTTCCAGAGTAGATCTAGTGTTCCTGCTGAATCACCATCGAGCGATTCCAAAGTTATGTTTCAGAATACTTCAAAACATTACATTTCCTTTCTATCCAGTCATGATGTTGTTTCCCACCTGCAATGTGAGATTGTTTCAACTAGAGACTGAATTGGGAACTTTTTGAATAAACGTTACGTGCTTGGCTACTGGGCGCATACAGCAAACTGGTTTAGAAGCTGCACTAAGTCACAATTTTCCCTTAACCATGGTTTATGAATAAATCATAATTAGGTATATTTGTACAATGCATTAAGCTATAAACTATCGTTTACAATCAAAATGGCTGTGATTAGAAAAGTTAAAACCAAATTAATCGTATTGTGGTATCGAGAATAAGATCAGAAAATCAGCTAATGGTCTATTTAGCTGTGCCACTGTAATCTATTTCAGGTTACTAACCCACATATGAGAGTCCACTAATTACATACTCTATTAATAGCTAGTAAAATGTCATAAGAGAATCTCTGATCCCATATAGAGAATTATTTCTTTAAGTTAGGAGAAATAGTACAGATAGTATTATTTCCAAGAACTGTGTCTCCTCTAAAGATTCTAAAAGTTAAATATTGTCTCCACTTCAAATCACAATGCAAACTAGCAAGCCTGTTTCCAAAAAAAGGGCATGCTTTTTTGAAATCTAAAAATCAAGAAATCTAATTTTTCCCGTGTTCCTACCGCATCCAGTTCCTCATCTTAAGTGTACCCTATTGGTTAGTATCAGGTTAAAGCGAGCTAATCTTCCTGCGTCTTCCAGGCATTGAAGGAGAAAATTGTTATGAATGCACATCAGGAATTTTTAGGCCATGTTTGTGGCAGATTTTGACTCCTAACAGATAACAGTATAATTAAAGTTCTCTATCTTTATGAATGCGTGCTTTTTTGAAAAATCTGCAATTTGCTATTGAAAATTACCTACATTTTCTTAGCAAGATAAATGAACGATACCAACAAGAGTACTGCTTTTATTTGTTCATTTGCTTAGTCCTAGATCCTGTTTTAATGGCACTACCAAATTCATTCGTTTTTGCTTTTCTAAGCATGGATGAGTATAGTTTACATTAACATGCAAATCTTCCTCCCTTTCTATTGCTTATGTTCCGTTTGAACTCTGCTCTTCCGTTTCTAGCTTTCATCTATGGTAGCAATTCCATCAGATTTCTGTTACACTTGTTAAATTATATTTGATTTTCTGTACAAGTTGTTCAAGCTCATCTTGTTTACTTCTCACACTGTGAACATTAGTAAGTAGACAATGAATATCATGAACTTTATGAAACATAGGTCTGATTTTTCAGCAAGGCCCTATTTCAGCACTATTCCCATATTTCATAGTGCACAAGTGTTTATTCGAGATCCGTCAGTTTTTAACTTACACGGGACTTAATTTAAAACCCTTCTAACTAAAAGCCTAGGATTCTTTATCTTACGACCCTGTTAACAATCCTTGAGAGATGAAATTCCTCTTATGCCAGCAGGCCATCGTAATCCAGAAGACAAACCCAGAATCATGTTATTTGCATAATCAGTAACTGATTTCTCTTTTTTAGTTCTCATTCATGGATTGGACAGATGGATAAGACTACTTGAGCCTCCAAGATCTTAGCTTTCCTTTTGAGAATTTTAGTCTGCGTGTAATACAGTTATAGTATCCTTTGCCTCCAGCTGTGTTAGCAGGAACAAATGCCTGCAAGGTGACTTGATAAGTGTTAGAAATTGACATGTCACTAATCCTTCCTTATGGCAAACAGAAAGATTTCAGGAGAAATTTGCTTTAACTCTTTGAGGCAAATCATCATCCACTGTGCCTCCTCTCTTTGTCTTATTTGAGGATATAGCTTTCTCTCCTTTAGGGATATGCTATACTGGCTCATTCTCTAGTCTCCTATTTAAAATGCTTGGAACCATTTCTTTTATCTGCAAAGGCCTGAATTTTTTTCCTGAACTTTAGATACAAAGACAACCAGGACGCATCGCATGACCTGTATCATCTTTTGAAGGATTCCTCAGAAACAGGTAGCCAGATGAGATGTTATTTTCTGAAATTCATGCCATCTATCAGCAATTGAATTCACAGACCACACTCTTTAGATGCCTATATAAAGTGCAGACTATTGGAAGTATCCAGGTTCTGGGATTCAGCAGTTCCATAGTTCCATATCTAGAAGCACTATTAAAATGTTATATTTTAATTAATTAAATTTAATTAATATTTCTGTTAGGCTCTTCCTGAGCAGGCAAATCTTAAATTATGTCATGACCCCTTATATGGGGCCTTACATAACTTCCATGCTTCTGGAGCAGGGGGGATTATTTATTTTTACAATGTACATCTTGTGAGGTATTTTCAGTTATACTGACCATCAGGAGACATAACATGACCGGTTTTGCCCTTATTGGGATTTCTTAGACATAAGTAGCCAGATGTTATGGATGCTTGGATGCAACTAAATGTTTGGGTGGAAAGGAACAGATTCAGATTAAATCCCTAGAAGAGAGTGGCTATGGGTCCTAATCTTCCAAATCTAAAGATTGTCCATTTATGACTCTGGATGCAATCATATCCCCATACTGAGCTCGTTCAAAATGTGGGTAATTGTCCTAGATTTGCAGCTCTTCCTTGAGAAGAAGATGGAAACAGTGATCAGAACAGCCTTTGTGCTCAATTGTATTTTTTCCTGCATAAAACTGCATTGTGCAATTTGTTCTATGCAGGACTGTCTTTGAAAAGCAACTGAAAGCTTAAATAGATTCAGCACACAGCTACCCAGATAGTTGGGGAAACACTTAAATTAATCAATATAATATCTCTATTCTTAGAGCTGCATTGACACCAGTCAGCTTCTGGGCACAATACAGTATGCTAGGTATGTTTTTAAAAGCCTGTATGTTTCAGGGCTTGGATTCTTCAAGAATGATTGTTCTGAAAGCTCTCCATCTAGTGAGATCAAGGAGAGAAGACCTCCAGAGTCAATCAAGGTCAACCTGTTGACCTTGTGGTCGTATCTACTCAATGGTAGCTCCTCTTCTGTAGAATTTAACCTTATACATATGGACCATCACCTCCCACCTTTTCCATGGAGCTGTGAAAACATGGCCGTATGATAGAACACCTGGAGGAGTGTTAAATATCTCCAAGTGGATGGGATTACTATTGTAATTTGACCTAGTTTATAATTTTCTTTTTTATGTAGCATATTGTTCAGAACGGTTTGAAATGGGGTGCTATAGAAATCCAAATAATAAATACTGTATTGATTATGAAAAAATAAATAAATTTATTTTAAAATTATATTTTTATGCCACATTTTTATATATAACTCGAGGCAGAGGACATCTGCCTCCTATTTCCCCACAACAATCCTGTGGGTGGGTTGGGCTGAGTGACTGGACCAGTCACCCAGCCTGCTTTCATACTAAGGGAAACCTAGAACTCACTGTCTCCTGGTTTCTAGGCCAGCACCTTAACCATTACACTAAACTATCTCTCTGTTAAAATTATAACTGAAAAGCACACATCTGGTAGTTTTTATTTGTTCTCTTTAATTTTATAAATCTACAATAGAATGCTAAATATGCCAAGCAGCCTTTTAAAAACAGCAACAGTTAAATTGATATGATTATTTTTGCATTTGTGATAGTCTTACACTGAAGACATATTTGCAATATTCTTGCTAGAACATGTAAATTGCTGAAAGCCAAACTTTTCTTGGGGAAAATGAAACCAACCACACCCACTTAGATCTGAAAGGAATTTGTGTATTATTGTTTGTTATGTAAATATTCATTTTGCTTCTATTTTACTTAAAGGATAATCCCTTTTCAATTGGACATTTTAAAACCTACTGATAACAGATGTATCCCAGTTTACAGAATGGATGAGGAATGAAAATGAAAATGAGATTGCAGTCGAAGAAATAGTTGAAGATTATGTCTCAAATGCTTTTGGAGGGATTTTTTCTGCAAGTTGTATTATGTGTCTTGCAGTTTCCTCCTTTAAATGTTATTATTCTATGTATTTCATTTCTTGGTTTCACATATCAATCAATTATATCTTAATGCCTACAGTCAATAACAATATGGTCATTTTGCATAGCATCTTCTTAAACATTAAAACTGGAATGACACTTATTAGAGGATAATGACATATAGCACCATTTCTCATATCTCTGAAGTTTCTGGAAGTAATCACATTAACAGACTGTCATAGAATTAATGTGGATTTTAGTACTGTAGATGATATTCTAAGGCTACTCATGCGAGATCAGATGAACAGGAAAGTTGTTATAAGATATACCTAACAATCTCCCGCATTTATATGTCAGAAATTTATCCACCATTATTCATTTTCCTAAAAGGAACCATCATAAACTTCTAAGAAGATACCAACTTCCTTTGAGGCACATTTGAAAATTATAGGTATGATTAATCAAAATGTATTTGGTTTTCTGGATAAAAGAAAAAGGATACAACAGACGATGAGCTCCCTGTACACAAGACAAAAATAAAACAATTATCCAACGTTAAACCTTTAAGGTGTAAAAGATACAAAAACTAGTGTGCAGAAATTCTTCTAATTGGTTTGAAAAAGAAATATTGTCCTACAGTAATCAGCTGTATAATTCAGAACATGGCACAACTTGTTTCAATACTGCAGCACCCATTTCAGCCTTTGATAATACCTTAATTCAAAATTACTTCAGCAAAACTTTCTGCCGGTTTTTGGTTTAGACTCAGAGCTATAATCCTAAATACATTACTAAATAAATTTATGAAACCATTAGGCAGATATTCGGATTTAAGCAGTTAAAATATAGTCCAAAATTCTGATTAAAAAATAAATAAAAATTAGCGATGCAATACAATGAGAACTTACGAATTCTAGGCTTATTTAAATCTATTTAAAAGCATGTTTATATCCATGCTAGGAGTCATGTTGGACTGGAGTATCTTTATTCATGCTTTATATGGAGTGCCAGAAGTACTGTGTGACCCGTTTCATTGTTTATTGAGAGTCTTCAGGTATGGGTTGCCAGATATTATTCTTTGGGGTTCAAGCTATCTACAAGTAGTCCTCGACCTATGACCACAATTGAGCCCAAAATTTATGTTGCTAAGTGAGTTTTGCCCTATTTTCACCTTTCTTGTTATTAAGTGAATCACTGCAGTTGTTAAATTAGTAACACGGTTGTTAAGTGAATCTGACTTCCCTATTGACTTTGCTTGACAGAAGGACACAAAGGTGGATTACATGATCCTGGGACACTGCAACCTTCACAAATTTAAGTCAGTTGCCAAGCATCTGAATTTTGATCATGTGATCATGGAGATGCTGCAGTGATCATCAGTGTGAAAAATGGTCATAAGTCACTTTTTTCAGTGCTGCTGTAACTTTGAACAGTCACTAAATGAACTGTTGTAAATTGAGGACTATTTGTATTGGGAACTGAACTCAACCACTGATGACTATATAGAATGCAATAGTTTTAGGAATTATCCAGGTCCTCTCATTCAGTGATTGCAGGGATATTTAGATGTGCTATCAGACTGGTATATACAGTCCACCTTCCCTTCAGCTTTCAGAACAGAAATATACAAATATTGCCTTATGTCATGACTCCTGTATGAGTTTTTACATGACCTCCACACAACCCTCTACAAGAGGGAGGGGGAGATTTCTCTATTTTTTTACAGTGTATATCCAGTGTGATATTTTTCCCTGTAGGTATAGATAAAATAATATAGCATCTATATCTTTCTGTTCAGAGCACAAGGGAAGGTAGACTGTATACAGCTCACAACTCTTTGAGATCTTTATTGAAATTTATTTCAATTACATAGAGAACCTCTGTCTCCCTCTATTGAAATAACCGTGAAATGGTTTTTTTTAGTTGGTAATAATTTCAGCCCAAATGCAAGTTTAAGGTGCAAGTTTCACTTTTTAGTGGTTAACATTGATAGTTTGTTAATTAGTTAAAAGTAATAGCCAATCAATATTGAATTAGAGAAACATAGATTGAAAGAGGTCATTTAGGCAATCCAATTCCTTCCTCAATAAGGAATCCAAATTAAAGCATCGTTCCAGAATAATTCTCTATTAGAATAAAAATAAAAGGTAAGTCTACCATCTTTCTAGCTCCACCACTGTCATTGCCCTTATTCTCAGAATGCCCTTTTCCCTCCTTTAATGTCCATTTGCAATCTGCCTTTCTCTAAAATCCATTATTCAGCTTTCTGCCCTCTGGAATGAAAGAAAATAGGTGTTGATGATGGCATATAATATTTTTTCAGATGCCATGTTTCCCTGAAAATAAGACCCTCTCTTATATTTTTTTGAACCCTGAAATAAGCACTTAGCCTTATTGCCATGTGCTCAAGAGCCCGATTGGGCTTATTATCAGGGAATGTCTTATTTTGGGGGAAACAGGGTATCTGAAAATACTGTAACATCCTTCAGCTATCTTTTCTCAAGGCCAGACTTCCCCAGCACTTTGATTCTTGTTCTAAGATTTAGTTTCTAGTTCTCTGTTCATCCTTGTTACCCTTTTTGAACCTGCTCCAAGTTCTCTATATTGTTCTTAAAACTAGATTTCAAGATGGGATTTGACTAAAATGGAACAATAAGTTTCTGTAAAATATTTATTAAAGCCACAAAATATATTAAATGCACAATATACTAGAAAATGGAGATTTAAGCATTTGACAAATATCCTCTCCAGATGACAGTATTATTGCCTATCACTTGCCTTCTATAAAAGATAACATGTTTGTTAGATCACACTAAATCTCTCATTAGTATAGGGTAGCATTGTACAGTAAACATCCTGGAAGAAAATAAATCTTCATAAATAAGGCACCTCAAGAACCTGGACGAAAGGCAGCATATCAATTAAAAACATATATGAATATTATTAACTGTAGTTCAACCTATGCTGAATTATTTAGGGCATGATTCAGTGATTACAGGGACTGACAACTCCATCGCTAAGCAGCACGGTCATTATGTGTGATGCCATGTGATTGTATCTTGCAACTTCCTGCCTGTTTCCCATTGCGTTTGTTTGTCAGAAGCGGCTAGTGAAGGTCACAAATGGCAATCACATAACGGGGGTGGGTGGGTGGGTGTCTGCAACAGCCTTAATTTTGAAGAGCGGTTATAAGTCTCGGTTTTCAGCATCATCGTAAATTCCAACAGTCACCAAGTGGTCAGTAAGTGAGAACCACTTGTAATTTCCACAGGTGACACTGCCACAATGCCACAGAAATAAATCGGGCAGTTAGTCTGTGCCTCGACTGTCCTGTAAGGCAGTTATGTGACTTTATTTTCCACGAGGAATTCCCCTTCGTGGCTTCCTAGTCTACAAATATAGTTACCTATAGTTCTATAGTTACCTATAGAAACTACAACCCCCAATATTGCATGGTGGGGCGCCATGCAATCCTGCAATATCAGTTTACCAGTACTAGTTTTATTTATCATAGCCCGGATAATTACTAATTATTACAGCATAAGCAGGTTGCAACCACGTCCCCGTTGACTTCAGAAGCAACTTCTCTTCAACGGAGCAGTAACTTGCTTGAAAGCCAACTAGGCAACTGTTTCGCTATTGTCAAGGTAACCCATTTGCAAGCAGGCTAGACTGCAACCTAATAACCAGCTGGTTATTAGCTGGTTAACCAGATGGTGTCACCAACGGTGTCCAGGATTTCTCTAAGTCTCCCCTTTCCACATCTTAACTCGGGTCTCAAAACTTGGAGCAATGTTTTTAGTCAAAGCAACTCCGCTCACCTTGCCTGACGGCCGCCATACTCTCTCATCCCATCCCCCCCCCATTCCTCCCCCTCCCCAATTCCTCCAGCATCCCGACAACCCTTGCGCAGCCTCCTAGGGCTGCATGGGCGGATTGCCGTTCGGCGGGTTTCGCGCGAGCGGAACTCCACGATCGCCTTTATTGTTCGCGTCCTCGGAGATATTCGGGGCCCCTCGGACACCGCCGGTGGGTCCGGATTGTGAGAGGGAGGATTGACGAAGCCTTCGATGTTCTTCGGACCTTTGCTTCCCATCTCGGTTCGGTCATAGCCGGAAAGACTCGGGCCTCTTCGGCAACGGCCGTAGCTCGACGAGTAACCGCCATCTATTCGGGTACCTTCGCGAGCTTCCGATCTCGCTCTAGCCGCCTCAACATGAACTTTCGGTGGATCGGGAGAAATCGGCTCCGATCGGGATCACTCGGGTGAGACCGAAGCGGGTTGTTGGACGGGTTCGGGAAGACCCGTCATCGACTATACTCGGATAAGATCGGAAGCGGCTTTGGGCCGTTCGTTTCCCTATTCGGGATTCTTAAAGTGGAGATCGGGGGAGATCGGAGAATAACTTTCATTCGGACGAGTTCGGCTAACCTCGCGGGATAAACCCCCCCCCCGCTCCACTAAGTGTCTTCGGATGGAGGACTCGGACTCGGCCGCGAAGCAACTAGGTTTAGCCGAGGCGGCGGCGGTAGCTGCCGCTGCTGCAGTAGCTGCAGCAGCGGCAGCTGCCGCAGCCGCAGAAGGATCCGAGCAGCAGCACGAACACCGAGGACAGGTGCCCGGTTCGGAGGCGGAGCCACAAGAGGAAGAGGAGGTGACGGCTGTCACCGTAATGGCGGCAGATGCCGAACACATTGAGATGGGAGCCGAATCCCTGCCGAGTGCGGACGAGGCTGCTGCGGCAGCTGCCTTTGCAGGTCGGCGCGCATGCGTACAAGCACGCCACCCGCCGGTCATTGAGCTCGGGTCGTGACTGGATCGTGTGTTCATTCGCTTGCGTGAATGGTGCATCACGCGAATACTTACTTTCAAGCGCCTCTCCTTTAGTGGAAACGTTTGGATCTTCTTAACTTACCTCTAGTACCTCATCATGAGGATATATACATACATGTGTGCATCATCCATGACGTCAAGAAAGCGCAGAAAGTGCCACCTTTTCCTCTACATTATTTTAGTTGTGCCGTTTCTTATCCCTGACAGGACTGTGGTGTGATCATTGTCGGTAGTCAGACAGGCAGAAATCTAGCATTTCTCCATCACTGCCTTTCATCAGAGCAATATGACTTGTTGATTATTATTTTTTTATACTTACATCTGAGTTACTAATTTAGTTGGAGTACTTGATGAAAAACAATTGGTGTAGCTGCCCGTTTGCATTTTAAGATGCTGTAACAAAAGATAATTGGACTGATTAAAATTTCTAAGAACAACAGCAGACAGATTAAATACAACACACTGAAACCTTACCCAATAGCTATTGAACTATACAAAAATCAGCTAAAATAAGATTGTCAGGTTATAAATAGGGGCAAGGATTCCTTTTCTCCCTTAACATTTGACTATTAATATTATGACTATTAATATTATGGCTATTAATATGTGCACATAATCATTGGTAGCTCTATTAATAAAGTCAGTATATGCATACTGGAAATCGATAGGTAGATAATGAAAATTTTGCCCTCAGAATCAATATTAAGATATCATTCTATAAACGTCTCATTTAACAGAACATGTGCATATTTGCTTCTTGGATTTTGGTAGTTCTGAAGGAGGATATCACAGCAAATATTTATTTGGATCATGTTTTACAGAAGTAACCACAGTAACAGTAGCCAATGTGGGTGCCTCTGCAGACAATGTATTCACTACTTCTGTGGCAAATGCAGCATCAATCTCAGGACATGTATTGGTAAGGTCAGGTTTACTTAATCTTACAATATTTATTTTTGCATATTCAATATTTCCTTTGTGGTAGAAAGTTTCTATTGTAAATGTGTGTTGTGAGTAGCTATGAAGGTTCATTATGTAATCAAATAGCACAGATTTGTGTTAGCAAGGTTTGTATTGGAGATGAGCAGAATAAATGCGACTGGATTTGCCAAAGACAGTAGGCTAGCCATTACTTAGGTTGGCTAGCTTGCAATTCAAGGGTATTGAATGAATCCAGCTAAATCTTTAATTTAGTTAGTCACAGTTAAACATGGATTAACATCTTTGGACATTTTCTTCTTTATTGTTATTAGCCCACAAAGGTATTCTTTCACTAACTCACGCTCTAGTCATTTCTCACATTGACTATTGCAATGCACTCTACCTATGTACGCTTACCCTTGAAGATTATCCGGAAGCTACACTGGTGTACAATGCAGGGCTGCAAACAGTTTTAAGCACTGCTAGAGTTCTGCATGTAACATCTCTCCTGTGTGAGTGGCATTGGATGCTAGTTTGCTTCTGGGTCCAGTTCAAGATGTTGGTTATCACTTTAAAAGCTCTTCATGGCATGGGACCATGTTTCTTAAGGAACAGTCTTATCCCTATTATATTAACCCATCAATCAATTTCAACTGGTGGGGTCTAGGAAGAGAGCCTTCTCTGTAGTTGCCCCTTCCCCTGGAGGTGAGGTGCACCCCTCCTCTCTTGGCCTTCCAGAATACCATCCAAACTTGGCTTTGCCAACTGGAATGGGTTCTAACAGTGGCATGCAACGTGGGGGTGGCTGGTGGTTTGAAGGGTGGTTTACTCCCTCTGCCGTTTTAACTTTGTTACTGTCCACTGTCCACTCGTTTATTGTTTTTTTTTAATTTTGTTCTAATTTGGGGTTGTTTTATATGGTTGTATGGTTTTATTTGTAAACCATCCAGACTCATGCAGGTGAGGTGGGCAGTGTAGAAATTTGATTAATTAAATACATAAATAAATAAATACGGTCTCCCCAGTTAAATGGAGTCACATTTCAGCTGTATCACTTAGAAGAGAGCTGCACCTAATTCCTAACAAATGTATAAATTTATTAGAAAAGTTAAAATACTTGTGTTATACAAGTGTTATAAATATAATATTTAATGTTATATTATAATACTTGCGGTAGATCTGGTTCTACTGATTCCATTATCTTCACTGGGTCCCTTTCCTCTGGCTAATGCAGAATGTTAGTCAACATAGAGGTTGTATTTGGTACTGTCAAGGTCTTGATTACTATATCTCCTGAGGCAAGGAGGTTTTATCTGATTCAGTATAAAATGCCATAGGCATGACTAAAATAATAAATAGAGCTTGCAATGGCAATTCTAGTTCAGTATGACTCAGGGTTCACTACATAATATAACAAATATCTTCAGACCTTAAATGAGTTCAAGGAATCGAAACCATATATATCAATTTTGATTAAACTTATGTCTGTTGTCTCTGAGAAATGCTATAAAACTGGTGAAGTGCCAGTTGACTTGAGAAAGGCAATTATCTTTATCTTCAAAAGGGGAATAAAAGGAAGACAGAACTACACACCATTCAGTCTGGCATTAATATCTGGGAAGATTTAAAAATGAATTATAATGCAACCAATCTATAACCATTTTGAAAACAAGAATATTAGAAGTCAACATGGCTTTATGAACAAATCTTGCCAGCGTAACCTTATTTCATTTTTTATGAGAAGATTTATTTAATAGATTCTGGGAGTACTGTACTGGAAATATATCTAAACTTGAGAAAAATATGTATGTGATTCTGTCAGATTAGATTAGTTAATTAATGTTTAAAGTGTATTTGCAGTTGTCTATATCCAGACAGTGCTCCTTAATGGTTCCTTATAAAATTGGAGTAATGTATCAAACAGGGTGCTATAGCTATTGATCATATGACGAATATTCTTTTTTTTCATCAAGAAAGGAGAAAACAGAGTGTTAGTCTCCATACGTTTGTATGTGGAAGAGAGGCATTTGACTGCTCTTTTTGCACTCTTCAATATATGCAACTTGATATTTCTACGGGAATTTGCTATGAATTCTTACGTATTAAGAAACATAAAAATATAATCCTTTCAGTAAGTTATACTAGCAATTTTTTTTTTATTTCAGTCTGGAAGAACAGCTCTTCAGATTGGGGACAGCTTAAATGCTGAAAAAGCCACTCTGATTGTGGTTCACACAGATGGCACCATTGTGGAGAGTGCAGGTCTGAAGGGGCCATCTGCACCTCTTACTACAGGTAAAATGTGAGCTGAGGGGACCTTTTTAAAATGTCATATAGAAATTCAGTATACATTTATAACTTTTTTTCAACATTGCATAAGCAAACTAATATTTGATTAGGAGAATTTCTTGATTTTCATTCCATCCCTTCTCAAAATTGCTTGAGAGGGAAAGGAGGGTCCTGTAATCCAATGATCTACAGCAACCAAGATAGCCAAACTACATCTAGTACCTATAAAAGATAGTCATTTTTTTATAATTAATTCTAAAATTCTATAAAAGTTAATACTTCAAATTTAGCTCAACTCTTAATCTGTTTTTCTCAGATCAAATTGTTATCTAGCTTTTTGCTGTTTATTTCAAATACTTAAATTTCTTAAGTTTGTAATTATTTTTTCTTTTGTTCAGAATTGATGTTAAACTTACCTGGCAACTTTGCAAATTTGTTGTCTTGAAATTTGTTGTCTCTAATAGCTTTAAGATGGTTAATAGGCAATTTCTGAAAATGATTAGAAAGTAAAGCTTGCAAACTTAATGTCCTTTAAAATGTAATGTCGCAGTTGCAAGCAATCTCTGAGGGTGATGGGTGGTTAAGAAGTACGAAATATAAATGAAAAACATGGCTAAGATGTCTCCTGGCACTCAAACTCACAGAAGACCACACTCTTTTAGTCTTCTCATGAAAATCAGCTATCTGGGCACATGTCGGCAACCTTCCATCTTCTTGTTGGAGAGGTTCCAAAGAACCAGATTACTCAACAATTCTTCAGTCTTTGCTATTGTTATCGGCTCTGCTTTTACAGAGGCATCTTCAATTTGCCATGCCTCCCTTGCAAGTCTTGTAGTTCAAGCTTTTCATTGGTCTGTTGTGATAGTATCTCAGCATTTTCTGACTTTTATGGAAGCTATTAAGACACAAAAACATCTTACCTATTCATTAGCCATTGCAGATAAGCAAACTCAGGCCAGTTTGTATACTGTATTATGCAAGCAATGGGTTTCAGTCAGATGCCCCCTCTTCTGGTCTTTAGGAATTTGATAACATGGCTGTGTTGTCAAGCCAGGGAGGCTGGATCATTATGACAGTCCCTCCAGATGATGGATAATTTGTTGTTTATTTTGAATACGTCTCCCAGTTTTATGTAATTGTAATAGATAGTGTTGTTTTTAATTTTTTTTATATTTATGTTTAATCCCAATTACATACTGGGAAATTGTATGCTGCTCAGGTTGGTTAATTGAAGTAGTCCATAAGCCCCATAAGTAAATAAATAAACAAGTAAGTATCCAGTGTTGCTTTAGTAATAGCTGAGGTATGGAGATGACATGGAACTTATAGATAAGATGCAGTTATTTCTGGTATCAGTGCTATTGTTTCCTGAGAGGAATAGTATAAGTATAGCACGTAATGACTAAGTCCTTTCTAATGGATTCCACATTTCAAAAATCAGATAAGTGATGTGTTGTTTAGAGAGGATTTAATATTCATTTTTCTTCTTTTAATGATTGAAGGAATAAGTTGCACTCTGGTTTTTTATTGACTACCTATCATTTTGAGGATCACGTTTTTGACATTCTAAAGGAAATGCAGAAATGAAAACTGTATGTTAAGACTTGGTTACCTTTCCTTTTATTTGAAGGATCTCAGTCCCCCTCTACTCAGTTAACATCTGGTCAAGAAAAAGGTGGAACAAAATATAACTGGGACCCGTCAGTGTATGATAATGAACTGCCTGTGCGATGTCGAAATATCAGTGGGATATTGTACAAAAACCGACTTGGTTCAGGTGAGGAATTTCAACCTATATTTTTCTAATCCATCTGAGTGATTAAGAACCCTCCAAAATTGTTAATCCACTAAGATTAAACATTGACTTTCACTAAGAGTTAAATTTCCTAATATCCAGAATATATATTTTTTATTTTTTATTTTACTTTTTAATTTGATTTATATGCAGCCCTTCTCCGGAGACTCAGGGCGACTTACAATGCGTTAAGCAATAGCCTTCATACTTTTGCATATTTATACAAAGTCAGCTTATTGCCCCCACAAACTGGGGCCTCAATTTACCTACCTTAGAAAGGATGGAAGGCTGAGTCAACCTTGAGCCTGGTGAGATTCGAATTTACAGTAATTGCAGACAGCTGGTGTTAATCACAATGCTTTTAGTCTGCTGAGCCACCAGGCTCATAAATTTAGAACATAGTCAATCTCAGAGTTAATGACAGGATCTGTTTTTAAATTTGATAGCAGTGCAAATGTGGAATATAACTTAAGGAGAATTCCCTGCCTATATTCACTGTTCTTCTGTCCTCCAAAATTCCACCCAGATAACATCTTGGTCTGTTTTGAGAATAAAAAGAGGAAATATTACCTTGGATACAAGTCATTGCATGCATCAAGCCATCTAAATGACAGCTATTTGCCCACTTTTCAATATATGATACATGTTTCATATCAAGTTTATTTGTACACAGCAGGCCAAATCTATAACAATGTTAGCAATTAAAAGTGGATGAATGGCCCAGAAGAAATTCTTTTCTAGACTGCATGTTATTCATTTCAGTGTTGTGCTTAGCTGTGAATGGGAAGGGAAGGAAAATTGGCACTTGCATCATCGTGAAAGTGAATGCTCCGTTTTGCGAACTCATTAAGAGTGTTTATATTGGGAAGGCATTTTTATAGTCGGAAGGGAACTATTAGTCTGCAGCTTGTGGGGAAAGGTTTTTGCAGACTCTTCTGAGCCTCATTTGTATAAAACAATTATTAAGTAGGAGTTGTTTCGTTGTTTTATCCTGGACTAGGTGGTCGAGGTCGTTGTATTAAGCAAGGGGACAACTGGTACAGCCCCACTGAATTTGAAGCTATGGCTGGAAGAGCCAGTAGCAAAGACTGGAAAAGAAGTATTCGTTATGCTGGGAGGCCAATACAGTGCCTTATTCATGTAAGATTCCTTAGATTCATTTTCTTCCTACTGTCACATATGCCACAATAAGTACTACTGGATTCAGTGGGATTGATTCCTAAATAAACACCCATGGATTATGACATTTGAAAGAGTTTCATCATTTGCTGTATTTGGATTTATGTTTCTACAACATATTTCTTGAAAATGGAGAAGACCTCCCTTAAGGTCTTACTTAGGATAAAAGTTACCAGAAAATATATGTGGGAGTCAGAGAACAGTAGAAAACTTTTGCAAGACACCTTTTATGCATACATAAATATCCACTATGTTATTCCCTTAATGGGTAAACAACATTTTGCAAAACACAGGAAAAGAGAAGAATTTAATAAGCAATATATTGAAAATGGGAGATGAGAGAAAAGAAAAAAAAAGAAAACCTAACTAGTTTCTGGTAGTCCTTTCATATCCAGTGTTCTTTTCACCATAGTCATATTTCATGGCTGTACTTTAGACAGCTCCCTATTTGCATTATTTGTAGTTCTACAGTATCTGGAGAGTGTATGCTGTAAAGAAGCACGACAGTAGTGAACACCGAGGTGAGGGGAGAGGACCATAGGGTAGGATATTAGATTAATTGGTTAATTTTACTTCAAAGCAGTGTGCCAGCCAAGCTCTCGGTGCTTGGAGAACTAGGAAGGGCTTCCTTGTGTTAATGCTGGATGGGTATCAGTTTTTCCAACCTAATATTGCTCTTTTCCAGTTTTAATATTTTTATTAAAGTTTGTTATAAAATAAAATACAAATAGAATCAAAAGTCAGGAAAGATGAAGAAGGAGAAGAAAGAAGAGAGCTTCAAAGAGAAAGAAAAAAAAAGTAGTGACTTTCAACTTTTTTCAGTGCAGAATAATACATAAAACTTACAGCATTAACTTTCTGCTTTACATTTCAGACCATTTCTATAGCAACAAAGTCAATCTGGTCATCAAAACCTAAGCTCAAAGTTTCATTATTTTTTTTTTCTCAGTTTCGAGCACAAAGTCCAGAAGCAATTTCCAAGTAGCAACAAAACTACATAGATTCTTCCTTTTCATTAAAACTTTTGCCATCTCCACCAACTTTTATCATCTTTACTATCCACTCTTCCATTGTGGGAATTAATATGTCTTGCCATCTTTGTGCATATAAGATTCCTAATACTGCTCTATTCCATCAATTCTATTCCAGGATGGAATACTAAATCCCCATGCGGCCTCATGCACTTGCGCTGCATGTTGTGATGACATGAGTCTGGTGAGTCTACAATTGCTGCTTGGATTACTTGATGATGTGCTGAACTGCTACATGCTGGTTATCATACAGAGATGATTTATAAATACTGTGGGCTGAAAGCGCCTTTGTCGGATTGGGAAAGGCAGCAGGGAAACAAATAGGGTCCTACCACCATTTCCAATTTATATACTCTTATTATTGCAGTAGCAGGCTTTTAGGTAAAATAAATTATTCCCAGATTTTACTTAGTTTTGGTAGTAGATTATTAACAATAAACATCCACTGGTTGTTTTAAAAATGTATTTAAAATCTGTGGAGTTTACCTCAATGTTTGTGGTGTGGTGAGAGGGCGCTCAGAAATGAGCCTTCCCTGTGGGAACTTCCCTCCTCTTGAATTGCTTACTTTCCCCCCCCCCCCCTTGAGATTGGCTCCTTCCCTTACTACATTTTGGATTTTATTGAAATCTGATTACTCTGCAGAGCCTTTGAGAACTCAGGAGTAAAAGAAAATTACCTATGGAGTAGGAAGAGAGATTGTCACTGTGGGTACTAGGAATTCTGTTACAATGTTATTGATCATGGGATTTTTCTCTGTTTATGTTATTTTGTGATTAGATGGATTAGATTTATTTATTAATCTTTTAAGCAACCCAGTAATCTATATATATAAAAGCAAAATACCACTCACGCATCATCACAAAATCTCCAGAACCGTAAAGCCTACAAACTTGAAATTTGGCAAGTATGTTCCTTTTGGCTTCTAGGTGCCCACTAAGAAATGGATTTTCGAAATGACCATCAAATCATTAGTATTTCTTATATTATTATTAACATGATGTTAAGGAGTTAGACTTTCTACTCCCCCTCCCCACCTGAAAAGAACTCTTCCAACTACCACTTAGGCGTGGATGTGGCCAGCGTGTGACTCATCCGGCTGCAGACTGGGAGTTTAGACACTCCACTCCCCACCTGAAAGGGAGAGAAAGGGATAGGAGAGGATCATTGGGGCCAGCCTCAGGGAGAGAAGAGGAGAGGAGAGGCCGATCATAACTACTCATTAATTTTCAAGCTGTAAGTGTCGATTTATCTAGCCCGATCACATAGTTTCTTAGCGGAGCACAGGAATCCATCTAGTTAATTTTTAGTCAGTTTATAATAAAAAAAGCACAATTTGAATTTAAACTCATCAGATAAATCAAATAAAATGCAAAGTAAATGCACCTACGAACTAGGCAGCAGAAAAGCAGTTACCAAAATCTAAAACTATGATTTATGCAGTCTAAAGATCCTGGGAAAATTGGGAAAAAAAATCTTAATTCGGCACTGAAATGAGGTTACCATGGGTGCCACTTGAGTCTCTCTGGGAAGAACATTCCAAACATAGAAAGGCTCGCTCTCCTCTGTAGAAACCCATCTCACCCACTGATTATTGGACAGTTTTTTTCTGATTGAAGTGGCATATATGTGCTAGCAATTAATTAATTAATTAATTAAACAAACAAACATTTGGCATGAGGTTTGGTCATTATTGTAAAGGTTACTAGGTATAGGCAGGAATCTCAAGAGAAAGTTGGCTCCACAGTGTAGAAGCATTAAAAGGAAAACATGACTGTTTCAATAAAGCAGATATCTTCCCCATCCAGATGTACTCCAAATTTGTTGAACTGCACTTCTTGTCAATTGTAACCCGTCAGCATATCATTTTTTTCATTTTTCATTTTTTATTGAACTGCAGTAGCTAACAAACCCAGAGCAAGCAGTGTGGGAAGTTGTAGTCCACCACACTTGAAAGTAGCTCATTGGGAAAAAAATCAGAAAATTTTGGTACATGAAAACTAGTCTCAAGAGAAACATTGGGCTCTTAAAATTCTCAGATTTCCTAACATTGTGTTCCTTTAAAGAATGTGTAGTCTAACCTGAAATGGAAATAATTTGAAGTACATTATCAGAGCTGTCCTTTTTAGTGAATAAAAAATAGTGTATTATTTGAATTGAAATAGCAATAAGTCATTCAATATATTATTCAATAATGTTCAATATATTGAATATTATTGAAGTTTCTCATGCAAGGCATGACAGCAGTAGCAACTGAGCATTGAGCTGTCTGATAATATTATTTTATAATGAAAGGATTTCATATTTATCAGAATTGTGAAGGTAAGAAGATAGGCCTGAGTGGCTTTGGACTGGGATCCTTTGTCGGCAATATAGAAATCTTTTAGATCCTGTGTTAAATTCATTGTGTCAAGATGTCGATTTTCTTTTCTTTGGTGAGGCAATTTATACAAAGTTTAGATTATATCAACTAGCGAAAAGCAAACAGACGAACAAACATTAATTGTATCTTCAGAAAGAATTACTGCCATATTCTGACAATGGTTGCTTTCTCTTTATCAGAGTGGTCCCATAAGACTGTTTGTCCCCTATAAAAGAAGAAAAAAAGAGAATGAATTGCCTACAACTCCAGTGAAGAAGGATTCCCCCAAAAACATCACCCTGCTTCCTGGAACTGCTGCCACCACCTGTAAGGGTTCCATGCGATATTCACAAATGAATCCTAACTGTCATTTAACATTTATCGTTGTTTTTAAAATGAAAAAAAATTCAGTTTCAAAAACAATTAAATATTTAATGGTCATTTTACACTTTGTAAGAAACAGCCTTTTCTCCTTTTCATCTTTAGTATAAATCGCAAATCATCTCAAGTTTCCCTTTTGGCACCCTAAATCCTTGTTTGATCTTTATTTACTAGCTGATGGTTATAATTTGAGTAATAACATCAAGAAAATGTTTGCAAGTATTACTTTAAGTCTTGTCCTCTCTATTTAATTTTAACGTTTGCTTCCCATCTTAATCAAGTATGTTCTTTTTTGCCCTGAACTGTCTTTTTGGTGTGTTAAACTGGGAAGCTTTTAGTCTTATTCATTTGGCTTGTTGCATTTCTTTCACTCAGAGAAGAAGTATGATTGTTTTTGGAAAGTTTTATCTATAAACCCAGTGGGGAAATCCTCTGAGGTTTGCCACCGGTTCACTGCACGTGTGCGCAGTGCATGCCAAACACACACACACACGTGCAGTGAGTGCCAAATGCACGCTGCATATGCGTGCATGCGCAGTACATGCCAAATGCACGCTGCACATGTGTGCATGCGCAGTACACACCAAATGCGCGCTTCGCGCACAGGCATACCACAGGCAGTACCTTGCAGCGTGGAAAAAGGAGGCTTAAGAAGGTAAGTAGAACAGCAAGGGTGGGGGACAGCTGTGCCGCACGATTTAGGTTCACTAGAAAGCAGGATTTCTTGCTTTCTAGTGAATATAAATCGCGCAGCACAGCTGATCGTGGGAAATACTGGTTCAGGTAAACCGGTAGCATTTCACCCCTGCTATAAGCTCAGTGGGGTGTTTCTGCTGGTTAGAAACAAAACTGAGGAGATCCTTTGATCAGTAAAGCATTCTACTTAATTCTGAAAATATTTTCATCATTTCTTTAGTCACTGTGACTCCTTCAGGACAGATTACAACTTCTGGCACTTTGACCTTTGATCGTACAGCAGCCGTGGAGGCCACAGCTATTATCTCAGAAAGTCCGTCCCAAGGTGATGTTTTCACTGGTACCACTGGTGAGTAAGACAAATCCACATCCATACGTGATTGGGATACTTCTTTAAACCTACATTTTAGGAGGAGGAATCGGGCAGTGATGAAAGAAGATAGAAAACGTGATTAATAGCACAAAAATAGAAAATTCTATCGATGAGTTCAGTGGGATTTATTATGAGATACAGGTGTATGAGATTGCAGTGTAAAGCAGCTGCTTCAATCAATTGCCCAGCCTCAGGAATGAACCACAGATAATATTCTTGGAAAGGGCCATTTAAACTATTCCCTCTGTTCCAAGGTAGGACTCTAAATCAAAATAATCCGGAGAGATGGCTCTGCAGTTCTGTTTAGACTCACCTAAGGAAGGAAAATCTCCCAACCCTTGTAGGTAATTGGTTTCACCGATGCTCCCAACTGTCAGGAAGTTTTTCCCCATGATTCAGTTGGAACCTGCCTTTCTGTAGCTTAAATCTGTTATTCTGCATCCTTTACATATAGTAACAGAGAACATGCCTTAGCTTTCTTCTGGTACCCTTTTCACTTCTTGAAGACTGCTTACTCTTTACTCTTTTCAAGCCTGAATATCATCATATCCTTCATTCTTTCTTCATTAGAAGTAGCATTTTGGACATCCTCAGAGCTCTTTTCTGAACTTACTCTAGTTTTCTGAAATCTTATTAAAGTCTTTTGCCTGTTCAGAGCCCACCCTAGAAGCGGGGTCTGATCAAAGAAAAAATAGATGGATTTGGAAATTATATGAAATTGCAATTTGCCTTTCCCCTCCTCCCAGTCACCTCAGATTGCTAACCTATGTTCAGTCTGTAATCATTAACCACAGGTAGTCCTCAATTTATGATCACAATTGGGACAAGAATTTCCATTGCTAAGCAAATGAGTTGCGCCCGATTTTACAACCTTTCTTTTTACCACAATTGTTAAATGAATCCCTACAGTCATTAAGCAAATCCAGCTTCCCCCATTACTTTGCATGTCAAAAGCTAGCTGGGAAAGTCACCAATGGCAATCAAATGACCCTAGGATGCTGCAACCATCATAAATACATTCCGATTGCCCAGTGCCCAAATTTTGATCAAATAATCATGGGGGGAGGCTGTGACAATCATCAGCATGAGTACCGGTCATAAGTATTTTTTTTTCCCCAGTGCTGTTGTAACTTCGAATGGTTGCTAAACAAACGGTTGTAACTCTTTCACAAATTATCAGATCAGATATCCTGCATTTATTTCTGTTTCTTTTTTTAAAATTTTGCAGATGCCTTGTAAATTCCAGGATCTTATTCTCAGCCCATTTCTGTATCCCATCAAGATTATTTTGGTTCTGAATTTGAGTATGTTAGCTTTTTGTTGTTGTTTGCAATTTCATATATTCTGAGCTTTCATTTTCCTGACATCAAGTCTACAGTTCTGGGCTATCCGTATGTATCTTTCTTTTACGATTTGTCAAACTTTCCATCCAAAACATCTGTGTATGTTCTGTTTTGCTTTCAGATCTTTGTTAAACTCCTGCAGTCTTCTTATTTCCCCCCCCCCATTTAAGTTATTTGCCATTGTGCTTTTGATATCTCATTTTTAAGAATTCCTATCCATTCTGAGGTCCTTTTCTAATTAGTTTCTCCTTTCATGGACTCATACTTATTTTCTGAATTTATAAAAAAAACTTTTTTTAAAGTCCAGGTTTTGCATTCAGATCCTCTTAGTTATTTTTATTTAAGATCTTAAGTGTAATGTGATCAACTTTGACCAATGTTACTGCTTCCTTGGCTTCTTCCTTGGCTATGTCTTGCTGAATAATTAGTATCAGGTTAAAGATAGCTGCTCCTCTGGTGCCTTGCTTCACTCACTGAAAGAGAAAGTTTTTAGTAAGATGTCTGAAGGAATTTCCTGGAAGGACCATACTCAATCGAGTTTTGACTTTCAAACAGATTTTGAGATAATTGAAATCCCCCATCCCTGGTACTTCATGCTGCTTTGAAAGATCTGCAATTTGCTTTTGTAAAACCGCATCCATATTTTTTTACTTGGTTGGGCAAGAATAATAGACATTATTCCAATATTGCTTTTATTTGCTTCTTCCATTATTTTAACCCAAGTGCTGATTATGATACCACAGAGTTCATTTACCTGGATTTCTGAACAGATGTGAATACTTGCAATATAAAGTACTCTTCCTTCTCCCTTTTCATTGTTTCTGTTCCTTTTGAATAGATTTTACTTCTATGCTGGGAATCATTTACTTCTATTATACCTATTAAACTTCAGTTGCCTTCCTGTATTAAACATTTAAGTTCATTTTGTTTATTTCCTATACTGTTGGCATTAGTATATAGATAACAATATAGCCTGTGAACTTTATGGGCCAATGTTCTTCCTGATTTTTTATTGAGTATGTAGTTTAATAGGCACCATTAAGGCTTCACTCCACTTCCTTCTAGATCATACAAGAATTAACCCTACCTCTTACTTCAGGGTTTACGGTAATCTTCTGCCCTCAATTTAAAGTTCTCCCAATCAAGCTTACTCAGCTTTGGCTAAAGACTTATTTACAAATCTTTATGAGCTACAATCCATCTCAAGTCAGCAGTTTATCACCCAGATAATAATGGACTTTTTCTGTTGATGTTGCTTGCATAGCTCTTCAGTAATCTGCAGTATTGTTTTCATTCTCAGTCCTCTTCCATGGCCTGCAAAGATGGATGAAAACACCATCTGTTCTTGAGCTCCCTTTCTAGATCTTCAGTGTCACTGACAATATATTTCTAGCTGTTCTTTGCAATACCTTTAGCCCCAGATGAAATTGTAGGACAGCGGACTTAATATGTCCTAATGTTCTGTCACATGTTTGATTTTGCTCTTGGGAGGCGGTTTAATTCATATGCCAGTTGGTCCAATCAGCATGTATTTATTTCTGTTTTTCTAACTCCTCTGACTCTTTTTGTTTTATTGCAGGGCACATTAACATCTACTTCATTCTTCAATAATCCACTAACCCCCCCCTTTTTTTTTTTTGTTCTGCAATTTTCTTGTCCTGAGAGCTCAGAGAATGCTGCCTCTGCAAATAGCCTAAAGCTGACATCTCTTGTTTCTGGTTGCCATTCTTGTTCACTGGACTTGTTTCCTTTAATTCTCTTCCTTGGGCGGAGTTATTTGGTTTAACAGGTGCTGTTGTAATGCTTCCACATAATAGGATGATCTAATAAATCTTCATCCTCTATGATTGCTCATTGGTCCAGACTTTCGTTTTTTCTTCATATTTTCATCTTGGTTTCTCTTTGTTGTTGTTGTTACAGGCTAGATGAAAGCAAATAAAGCAAACAGAATGGTGTAATGGTTAAGGTTAGAAACGAGATTGTGTTTTAGTCCCACATTAGGCATGAAAACTGGCTGGATGACCATGGACCAGTCATTCTCTCTCAGCCCAACCTCACAAGTTTTTTGTTTTTTTTTGGTGGAGAAAATAGTAGGAGGAAAAACATTGGCTTTGTTTTCCAACTTGGAATATTTATAAAAATAATAAAGGAGGGAAATAAATAAATGAAGATAAATCCTGATAAGACAGAATCGTATTAATGGACTGTTTTTCTGTCCATTTTAGTGTTAGTTTTTCTAGATTATTAAGAATGGCTTAAGACTGTTCAAAAAGGTTGCTTACAAAAAAGCCACCCAAGTGGATATACTTAATAAATTGCATTACATTCAAAATATATATTTTAAATAGCTGGAAAATATAGATTGGGGGCCCCTTGGTGGTCTCTGAGCTTGATTGTTTTCTCGCAGATGTTTCATTATCCAAACTAGGTAACATGTCTGCAGAAAACAATCAACTCAGAGAGCACCAAGGACCCCTCATTTCAACCCTGAGCTACAGTATTCTCCTTTATTGGTAAAATATGGGCTTAAATGTTATTAGGAATCTTTTATATGAGGCATTTTTAAAATTATAACAAATAATAAGGGAGAAACCTCTTACCAATACATAGAAGTCTGCAATCCTTGACACATTGTCTTGCCTAAGGATAAGTACTGCGTGTTTCTTTTTAAATTGCCCACATAATCCAGTGAGCGGTGGGATGGATTTATGTATTGCAAAATAATTTTATTTCTGACCATCTCGCTGGTATTCTCATTTTGAGATAATCACTTTCCTTAATTCTAGTTTTAATCATTTATATTGAAGATGAAATGTATTTCGATTAAACAGTAAATGCAGGAACTTGAGCATGTTTTGATCTTGCAAGAAACAATATTTCTTGCTAAACCCTTTTTCCAGAAGTGTCCTATTTTCCTTCATGTCTTCTTACTTTTTGTGAACTTCCAAGATGTAACATCCAAACCAGTTCCTTTAGACTCTGACTTTACTCCCTTCTCAACAGTGCAAGATACAAATCTTCAGCAGCAACCTTGTCAGGTCAATCATCCAGAGCCTCACTATCCAAGTTATCAAGACAGTTGTCAGATCTCCGCATTCCCCGAAGCAGCTTTGCCAACTTCTCATCCCAAAATTGGTAAGATTTCTTTTGTCTCTAAAATAATCTCCACATTGTTAAGTTACATAATTTTTAGTATTTTTTTCATGGGAGCAAATACACTCATATTTTGGGGAAATAGTAAGCCATCCAGGTGGTGTAGGTGTGCTAGGGTGTTGCTGATGTCCTCACGTAGGAAGAAAAGAGCAGGAATTATAGGGATGAAAATAACCTTGGTTGTGAATGCAGCACTGTCAAGGATCCAATCCAAGTGCTATGTTATGTTTTTTTTAAAAAATTGATTTATATGCCGCCCTTCTCCGGAGACTCAGGGCGGCTTACAATGTGTTAAGCAATAGCCTTCATACTTTTGTATATTTTATACAAAGTCAGCTTATTGCCCCCACAATCCGGGTCCTCATTTTACCTACCTTAGAAAGGATAGAAGGCTGAGTCAACCTTGAGCCTGGTGAGATTTGAACTTGCAGTAATTGCAGGCATCTTATGTTAATAATAGTGCTTTAGTCTGCTGCGCTACCAGGGCTCCTGGTTAGAGCTGTTGTTCTACACAGGCCAGATGATTGTGGATTTGGAGATTGGAACCCTTATAACCTGGTAGCGGTTGTGTTAAGGCAGTTGCCAGCTTAGGTACAGTTTCAGGAGCTTTCAATTTCCTCAGGATGAGGACTATTAATTTGACTTGCTCTGAAAAGTCATGGAGCTCTCTTGACTGAGCAAGAACCTAGATATTCTCTGGGAATATCTAGGTCATAGCTCTGAACCCTCCCAGCCCTTCCCACCCCACCCCCCCCAATATGGTTCCTTGGTTTAGAGCTGAATTGTTGGCTTAAGAGGAGATGGAAAACTTCACACAGCGGTGCCATGAATCTATTAGTTATACCAGATTGTATTTTTATAAGGTTTCCTGCATGAATACAGTGAGATTTTAAAAGGATTTTGACAACATAAGGGTGTGTTCTTTCATGCAAGAGAGACTTGAGGGCTGTCTCATCCTCACATCGATGTCCCTTTGGCCCCCCACATCCCACGGCCCCTCCTGCCCTAACTGACATTTACTGTCTTCTTGCTTCTGACCCTTTGTGAGGCCGCACGAGGCTTTCTCTCCAGGGTTCTGCAGAGCAGCTGCCTCACAAAGGGCCAGGCTGGATGCCTTCTCAACAACAAGAGCAAGAAGACGGTGAAAGTCAGATGGAGTAGTGATGCTCAGTGCAGCAGGGGCCTCGAGTGCAGGGTGGCAAGGGCAGCTGGGATAGGAGGACTGAGGTGGCTGCAGCTTTGCAGGGAGCTGCTGGGTGAGCCTGGGTTTTTGCAGTGCAAAAGCTACGAAGCTTTTCACAGTGCAAAGCCAAGCCTTTTGCAGAAACTCTAAGCACTGGGAGAAAAACACTTTGTGGTGCCCTGCTGGGCTGGGGCTGGTGAACGGCTTCCCAGGAAGCCCACCATCATGGCGCAAAGCCCTTTGCAGTGCTAAGGCTGGATCAGCAGTGCAGTGCAATGGGGCTTCCTGGAACTGCAGTTCTGGGATTCCCAGGATATGGCAGTTTTGTGCCATGCTGCTGGAGCAGCTGAGGTTTCCAGGGGCAGCTGTGGCTTTGCTCTGCACTGCAGCTCAAGAGCTTCTTGCCGCCCCGGAGCCCTGGCACGCCAAGAAACCCCTGAGCTGCAGTGCATTCTTTCCTTGGCTTCCCTGAGCTTGTGCTGCATCACAGCACACCTACATGTGTGTGTGGCCTGTGCTGGGCCTCCCCCACTCCCTTGTGGTATCTTTGTGTTCCTCACCCAGGACTCTCTCTGCTGCCCATTTAACAACCCTGGAGTTAGCATCTGCAGTTATGACGGCAACGGGGACTGCCGTGATTGCTGTTGCTAAGCGAAGTGGTCACATGATGTCATGCTTTATGACCGTATTGCTTAGCAACAGAAATGCAGGTCCAAGTTGTAAGTCAAAGACTATCCATCATAGCATGGGCCATGCCCCTGCAGTCTAGAGAGGAAGGACTGCCTCTCAGTCTGCCCCATCTTGCCTTTCAGGTGCCTGGTACTGTAGATCCCTCTGCAATCTTGGATTCCACCTCAGTCCTGGATCCCACTACCACCACCACTACTTGTGAGAAGTAGTGAAAGAAAGAAACATTCAGCATAGATTTAGTATCTCCCATTTAGTATCTTCTTGTGGAAAACTAGAAGAACTGGTTTTGCAAAGATTGAAAAAAAATCACTGAATATGCGGTGAAGTCTTAAAGTTATGAAATGGGTATTGCTGCACTCCCTTCGGGAGCTGGATTTCATTAGCCCATTGTGAGAGGCCAGGCTGCCTGCAAGTTGGCTAGCATCTGGGCTGATGGTACCCTGCCCCTTTAAAACCTTTTCCTAGCCAGCCCAGCTGCTCAGCAATCAGCAGGTATAAAAGCTGAGCAGAAAAGTAGCTGTGTGTGTGTGTTGTTGCGGCTGAGTTTTTGGTGTGTTGAAGTTGTTCTAGGAGTGAGAGGGAGATAGTTTTTGTTCTTGGTGGAAATAGAACTACTGGAAGCAGCCAAAAGGGCCAAGAGACACTAAAACTTTTCTTTAGCACTAGGGCTTACAAATTGTATTGGCCTAGAACTAATAGTAGGAGTAGATTTGGGGAAGTGTGTGAAAAACAACTGTTGAGTACTACCCATTGTGTGCTTGTGTGTGGGATGCCTAAAGTCCAAAGGGACTTGGGTTGGTCCTCTGGGGTTTTGGGAGCCCATTGACTTCGGATATTGATAAAAGAATCTGCGGCACCCATAAAGCTGGGTTGTTATTTTAAACTGTTGATAGGGTCCACTGCAATTGTTACAGTCTGCTTGCTCTATGGTTTGCTTCAGTTCTAAGATTTATTAAAAGCATATACATCCTGCTTCCAGATTCCTAGACCAGTAAAAAAAAAAAAGCTACTGCATCAAAGAGAAACAATTCAAAATCTCAAATATTCAAATGTTCTTGTATTGGTTATTTGTAATGCAACCAGAAATTTTCAATACTTTACAATGATGAAACACTCAGTGGAAGCAGCTTAAATTACTGATTTCTGAAAGGAACTGAAGTGAGAGGTCTTAGTCTGCTGCCTGGCTCTCTACCACAACCATATTGAATGGCTGTGGATGACAACTAGGATGGAAGATGGATCTGGCCAACTTTCAGGCACAGTTACTGGTGGTTCAACTCATTCTGTGGTTCTATCTTTTAGTGTTGACCTCACTCCCTGCCCTTGCGGTGCCACCTGCTACGCCCACTAAGACAATCTCCTCTTCTGTGATGAATGGACTTGAAATGACAGAACAACGGAACTGGCTTTATCTAGAGGAGACCGTCAATTCTCTGCTTAACACAGCTCGGCAGCTGAAGACGCTGATCGAACAAGCTAAGCAGGCCAGCTCTTCCTACAGAGAAGCTGCTGTTTCCCAAGCGAAACTTCAAGCTGATGTGGAAAGGAAAGAGGTAATAAATAGTGTTTCAAGAAAGGAATCCATCTTAGCCTCAAATATCTTATAGCCATATTTTAAAACTACTTATGCTGCTTTAGAAACTGTTGAAAGAGGAAAAACTTCCACCCTGATGCATGGCACAGTGATGATATGGATGTAGTCATTACTATAGTCTCAGTGAATTTCAGAGTGCAATCACACAGTGATTTTGGATTTGGTAGCATCATTTCTGATCTGCAGTATACATTCTAAAACAGTGTTGGATTTCTTCTACTGCATTCAGAGCAACATAACCTAAATAATTGGAGCTCCTAGGATTTATGTTCAAACAAATATTTTCACAGAGCTTAAAGGGATAGCAAAAACTCTTCTAAAATGCATAATAGATGCATATGGAGTATTATTTACTTAATTATTTAAAGTATTTATATACCATTTGCCAATTAAACATCACCAAAATGGTTTATGGTAATATATACTGTAAATAAGCTTTTACATAAAAGTTCCAAATAAAATCAATAAGGTAGATAATAAAATAAGTAATCAAAGCAGTGGTAAGGAAGTTAATTTATCACAGTAGCAGTGGTGGGTTTCCTCCAGTTCGAACTACCGGTTCGCAAGAACCGGTAGTAAAACCAGCGGGAGGCTCCACCCACTGACCCGGACGTCATCATAGGTGATCTGCGCATGCAAAGAAGCTTCTGCGCATGTGCAGAAGAGCGCATACGTGCGTGAGCAAAGCAAGCGTGCACACATGGTATGATGCGAACCGGTAGTAAAGGTAAGTAGAACCCTGCACAGTAGTATATAAAATAACACATTACTAAAAATTCTGCAAGAATAAAAATGTGCCTCTGTCATTCAGAAGACAGTGGAGAATCTTCCAGGCCTACTGCACTATTGCGGGTCTATTTACACCATTGGAGAATATCCAGAGTAGGCCTTCCAAAGATTATTTTAGGGTACTGAGAGGAATTTACAGGAAGAATCTCTTCATATGCCCTGATCCTAAATACTGGAAGTCTTTATACATTAATACCCAGTAGCACTTAGACTTGTTTACTGCTCCATAGTGCTTTAACAGCACTCTCTGAGTAGTTTACAGTGTCAACATATGGCACCCAACCATCTGGATCCTTATTTTACCGACCTGGGAAGATGGAAGGCTGAGTCAACCCTGAGCCCCATCAGGATTGAACTCCTGGTTGTGGGCAGAGTCAGCCTGCAATACTGCATTCTAACCACTGCATCACCAGGGCTCCCAATGGCATTGGGATTGCAACTGAATTACAAATTAGAAAATATCTGTAGTTTTCTAATATTAAAAGTATTCAATCATGTCTATTTTGTTTATAGCAACAAGGTTATGAATTCTATACGCCGGGTAGTGTCGGATCTTGACTTGAGACAGGAGGGAAGTGGAGCAGGAAAGGCCTTTACAACAAACACGGGTTGTATCCGTAGTTGGGTCAAAACTAGATTCTCCAAATGTTGAGTTCAAGGAGCAATAAAGTGGCAAAGTCAAGGACCATCCAGAATTCAGTTGCACAGTTAAGGATTCACAGTGTGGTAAGGCAAAGGCACTAGCCACAAATTCAGTTACAAGCAGTGCTGGGAATGAAAGTGAGCCTGCTTATATATCCACCAAGCCGGGCATCTCTCTTTCTCTCCCAGGGTTTTTAGATGAATCACCTGGGGAGCCCTGCATCCACCCACTCTTGTCCTCAAGTGCTTTCTCTGCATTAATTCCTGGAGCCGCCTTTGTTTGGGCTTTCTAGGACCCAGGAGGAAGGAGGCATGGATTTCAATACCCTGTTTCCCCCAAAATAAGACATCCCCTGATAATAATAAGCCCAATCGGGCTTTTGAGCGCATAGCAATAAGGCCAAGCACTTATTTCAGGGTTCAAAAAAATATAAGACGGGTCTTATTTTCGGGGAAACACGGTAACTGTTCTTCACCAGCTGTCTGTAGGAGAGATGCTCACTTTACTTCCTTTTTGATTTGAGGCCAGGTGACTCTGTGTTCTTCCTTGGCTAGATATTATTTCCTCTTCCAAGGCAGTTCTAAGAACATATTTGTCACTTGATTGACATGCCTATTGGCTTAAGCTCACTGCTTTATAGTTGTTAGTTGCTTCAATAGGTTGCTCTTTTATTTAGATGTTTGAGTAAGGATTTAATCTTACTTAAACATCTAAATAGCTATTTACATTATTTAGATGTTTTAGTATGATTTAATTCTTACTCAAACATCTAAATATTTAAGGGCTTTCTTTCATAGTGCTTGAGATTGGAGGCAGCTGGGAATATCTTCATATTGGTCTCTAGCCATTTAATAAAATTTAAGAACTATTCCTCAGAAAGAAATAAACATTGAACATTAGATTTGCTATGGTCAGTGGGTGCTGAACATTTCTTATTTTCTACAGCGTCAATTGCTTTTAGTACAGAGAGCTTTGTAAGAATGTACCAATAGTTTTAATGAACTATCCTTTACTGGAAGGTGTCAGCTGGCTTTTATTGCTAATTATACCTGCCATTTTATGTCAGCATTCTTGGATTTTTGTCTATTACTTATTTGTTTAAAATATATTTATTTATATAGCCATCTCTTGTTAGAGGGTATGGCATGTGGTGATTTCAATGGATGTTGAATTGGTTAAATTGGTTAATGTGTAAGCGTTGCAGCTGCTTAGATTTGTTAAATATTGGGGGAAATTGTATAGTGTTTAAATCTATACAATAGTAGAACAGTGTACATATGGAAGTTGTAGGTCCCTCCCTCCCACAAGGCATTTAAGTAGAGACTAGACAGCTACCTTTCATGGAAAGTTGGACTAAATGATCCTTGTGGCCTCTTCCAGCTGTTCTGTTTCTATGAAAATGTGAGAGGGAAGGGTTTGAGCTCAGAAAAAATGATCACATGGAAATTTGTAATGCATTTTTTGCTATTAGAATGCAAATCTATTCAATATAATGACAGCCTCCTAATGGCCCCAAAAATAGTTGAGCTAGCTTGTAGATAACAAATCAAGAGAAAACAACATAATTTCTTGCCAATATAGAGATGTGAGGATCTAAATGGCAGCAGACATTAAGTGTTGGGCAAGGAAGGAGGTAACCATCTGCAAACTTTATCTTCTCTGGACAAAGCCTTCTTCTTCTGGACTAGCAAAACTACAGATGTGCAATTTTCAGCTGTGGGTTTTTGTTTCTTTGTTTTTAAGCACGATATAAAAGGAACATTTGTGAAGTAATTGAAATATATGCAGTTCTTTCTTTTATCTCAAATGTTTCTTTCCTATTTGAAAGATAAATGATAGTGTATAATTTAGTACACAAAATATACAGTTCTTAATATTACTTAAATAAATCCTCACTCATGCTATTGCTGGTTGATGACCGTAATGAAGTTTTAATTCATTCATTCACTCATGTTTATAGCCGTATTTTCCAGATAGCCGTATTTCCAATAGAAAACTCTTCCTTGTAACTATACTTCCAAGAGCAGCATGAGGTAATTGTTAAAAGGAAATTTATGATGTCTTTCAATTTTTCCAGTATCAGAGTCAGTTATTTCAGCATACAGAAGATGTTGATGGAAAAACAGAAATTATTATTAAGGTAAGCCCAAAGATTGACTCTGAATGGTATCTAAGGACTATCAATCTATTTCCATGTTCTTTTTTGATACTGAATGGCGGCTTCTCAGTGGCAGCAGTCTAATGGTCTGAGATTGAGCATGTTCATGCTGATGTGGCTAAACTGGCCTGGTTCCTGAGACACCAACTTATCTCCCATAAGGGGTTGGCATTCATTTTGTCACTTTCCTTTAGCCCCCAAGTCTTAAAGAGCCCAGTATATCATCCATTATTGTGGTGTGCTTCTGATCTGCCCTTGTGGTCATTACATTAATAGCTGGTAGATGGGAATGTATGAATTGTTTTTTTACAGTGTATTTTGAATTGGTAAAAGGTGATCTTTTACCATCTGGTACTTTGGGGGCTTTCCCTGGGGGAGAACCTGGGGGTGGACAGCGCCCTAAAATTGCATTTATGAATAGGGGGAAGGTGATACCCCAACAGTTTGGTGGAAGCGGACTGCAGTTGGTACAAAATGCAGCAGCACAGACTGTTACGAGTACCTTTCAACCTACACATTTTATTTCTTTGCTCCATGAGCTGCATCGGTTGCCAGTGCGCTTCTGACTTTTACTATATTGTGCTGGTGGTTACTTATAAAGCTCTCCACAGCATGGGGCCAAGCTTATTTGCAGGGCTACCTGCCACCAGTTATGTCTGCCTCTCCAAACAGACGAGCAACCATGTTTACATAATCTTCCTTGAAATTTGGTTACCATGCTCCCAAGTGCTTTTTTTTTTTTTTTTTTTTGCAGTAGCTGCATAGAAAAAAAAAAAAAAAGAGCGTTTTTTTCCCCCAAGTAGTCAGTCTAAATTCCTCAGAGGAAGAGTTAATCTGATCTCAGGTCTCCTGCTTCACAGCTATTTTGGTTTTTCTTTTCTGCTAGTACTTTTTTCTTTCTCTGTTTACCGAGCTCTTTATAAGTGTCATGACAAGTTCTTATTGGGTTGCATCCCTGAGGCTCAGCTTTGCATATAGCCACTGAAATGAAGGAAATCTGTGACATTCGTTGTACTTACTAAGAGCCTTGGTGGCGCAGCAGACTAAAGCACTGTTAAGTAACACCAGCTGCCTGCAATTACTGCAAGTTCAAATCTCATCAGGCTCAAGGTTGACTCAGCCTTCCATCCTTTCGAGGTAGGTAAAATGAGGACCCAGTTTGTGGGGGCAATAAGCTGACTTTGTATAAAAAAAAGAACACCGCTTGGGGTGGGGGCGAAAGCCCTACTAAGCAGGTATATACAAAAGTATGAAGGCTATTGCTTAACACATTGTAAGCCGCCCTGAGTCTCCGGAAAAGGGCGGCATATAAATCGAACCAATAAATAAATAAATACTTCAGTTTGCAGAGAATTTATTGGCAGAAGGTGCAAACAAATTAGATGTTAATCAGTGTGAATCAGTTGGGCCTGAAACGAAGTCTCTGCATTGCATATGGCAGGCCTGTCAAACTGGCAGCCCGTGGGCTGGATGTGTCACGCACAGGCCACGCCCACCCCAGCTCAGCAAAGGCAAAAAACGTTGCAATACATCACGATACGTCACGTGACACCATTGAGTTTGATACCCATGGCATATGGTCTCGCTAATGCTTTTGCAGCAGGGCAATTTATTCACAATTCCTTCCTGTACTCACCTTATACAGAGACACCAATCATGCCGAAGTAATGATATGAGTTGCAAGCTAATTGATCTGTAAATCCATCTTCCTCCTCTTCTGTTTTGAATGAGCTGTTTGAGCAGACATGTTAGAAATACAAAACCAAATAGTATTTTCCCAAATTCCCGAGGTTTCCTATCACATTAAATCCGAATATAAGAGATTGATGGTATTAATCATGTAAACTTAAAAGAGGTCTGGCTTATCTTGAGGCCAGTTTCTTAATCTTGTGCTGTTCCATATTTCATTCTCTATCCACCATTCCACATTCTGTTATTAACAATTCACAATCATTAGACTTTGATACATCTTTCCTGCTAGCATGTTTTAACCATAAAACTACTGAGAAATGCCAAATTGCCTATTCTTTTGAAGACTCTTGTTCTTGCCCCAGTGTGAGACAAAAAGTACTAATTGCACTAGTTGCACCCTCATATTTTTTTTTCTGCTGCATGCTTATCGTATATACTTATGACCATTTTAAATTCTCTCCTGTCCATTTGGATTAGGATGGCCTTTTTTATGGTCTAGTGGTAAGAACTTTGCATTGTGCAATCTCAATTCTTGGGACTTCCGGGAAAGAAAAGGCAAACTGAAGATGGCTTTGCTAAAAAGCAGATGATATTTTAAGGATTTGTTTATAAAGAAGAAATGGGATAGGGGAAGAAGAGATTATTTGTTGTATTTTAAGCAAAGATGAGGTTACTAAAATTGTTTAAATTTTAATTTTTAAAATTGTTGTGAGGAAGGGAGAAGTAATTTCATTTTATATTTCTTTTTTCTTAGTATATTCTTATTTTTTTTCTGTTTTTCTTTTCTGTACCTTCAACATTTCTTTTTCTTTCATTTTTTTACTTTTGTATTTATCATTGTAATTGCAATTTTTAATAAAATTACAATTTTAAAAAAATCTTCTTTTTATAACATAGAATAGTGGCACTCAAAAGTTCCTAGCAATTACAAATGCATATGTGTGTGTGGGATCATAGATGGATGGATGGTAATATAGTATTTTTGCTTTTCAGAGCTTTCTGTCCCCTGCTAGTTGTCCTATCTGTTCAGTTTGCTGCAACCATTATATCAGAGACAAACAGATACTTTCCAGAGTCTGATAATGACATGCCATTTTCTACTTCATATTATCAGTATAAATTTGGGCTGTTTTTGGTTCTTGAAAGAAGTTAGAGAATTTGTTTTAATTGTGAAGAGTACCCAGTTTCTGTATTATGAGAATTGTACCAGTACATGGGCGGCAGAAATTATATATGACTTCTTTTTTTTATGCATCATGTGCAACCTCCTTTTACTTCCATTTAACTTGTATTCTTTGCCTGCAATCTCACAGCAATCCTGTGTAAACTGTGGCCGGGAGGCAATGAATGAATGCACCGGTTGCCATAAAGTCAATTACTGCTCAACGTTCTGTCAACGGAAGGTATCACACCCCTTATGAATACAGTTGTCCTGCAGAGCTGAAGAAGCAAGTGCCCATGTATGATCTAGTACTTTTGAGCAACCAACAATGATTATATTAGGAGTACTAGGTTAGAGCTGCAAAAATCCAACTCTTTAGCAAAGAGTTAAAGAAAACCCCAATTTTTAATCCCATGTAGTGGTTGTTTGGGTTTGTAAACCTTGTCTGTAGACTTTGAATCCCTAGACTACATCAAGAAAGGACTATTTTCCCTTCTAAAAATATGAAGGAGGAAATTTCTCTTGTTTCTATTCCTTTTGGTTTTCACCTTTTGGTATAAAAGCAAAACACGTTTAGAAACATGGGTCTCTCAGTGTCAGAGCAGTGATTGGGTGCCCAAACAATTGGTTCTTTTGGATCCAGAGACAATAAGCAATTTTAAGTTTTATTATTAATTCAAGGAAATAAACTTAAAAAGGGTAATATATAAAGCATACGAACCGAGTAAAATGATACCCAACTCTTACAAGCTGTCAGGAGCTCCCTAATAGGAACAGCAGAGATACTCCAAGGGCAGCCATAGTATCCAATTTTATTTATTAAATTCATTTGCCACCCATCTCACCATGAGGCATCTCTGAGCAGCTTACATTACAGTATTAACCAATGCTAAGTTCTGTGCAGAAACTCCCAACAACCATCCCAAGATTTCTATCAAAACCTGGAACCATGATGTCATGGCCCTGCTTCTATGGTCATAAGATTGTAAGACCTGACATTGGCTGGGTGGCCCGTGACTCTGGGATGGTAACTAAAAGTCAGAGAGTTTCACAGATTTGTAGTGAAGATTTCCCACCCCCCTTTTCTCCTTTATTCAGCAAACAAGCAAAAAACAAGCAGGTTAGCTCAGAATAAGCTCTAAACATCTAGACCTTTCTTGATACGAAGAAAAAAAATCAAAATATGTCTTCCTCGGAATAACAATGATCTTCTGCATTGCCACTACAGGGTCTTTTTAATTTGGTAGTATGGTGCTTTGCTGCCATTTACAACTTAGTGCTATTTAATTTTGGATTTCAATAAACGTCTCTTTCAGTTCGATAATTTCATTGGGTGTTCATGCTTTCTCCTTTTTCCAACTTGTCTAGGATATGTATTTAAGAAAGATGGAATGTACCAAAGATTTTAGCACCCAATTACTAAGCAAGTTTAGGAATTACTTGGGAGTGCAATTATGTGAGAGTCATTTTGTGTAATGCTTTATTTATTAATAAATAAAATGTGTAATGTTATGTGAGAATGACCTTGGGAGACAAGGCAACAAGATGCAGCCAAGGGAATGATCAGATAAAAGGCAGTTTGGTTCACAGCAAGAATGTGGACTGGGTAAGAGGTTCAAAGAGAGACTTCCTAGTTTGGGGAGCTGCAAAGGAGAAGGGTGGAAAGAGAAGTATTTGCACATTTGCAAATTGATAGCAGCCTTACAGACAGGAAATATGACCGGATGAGTTAATTCTACTGTCAGCGTTCCAAATTAGGCTTTCTTCCAGCGCTGACATAACAAGTTGAAACAGAAAGAGCGGAAGCTTGATTTATTGCTGAGATGAACTTTTACCTAGTTTTGTATATACAGATAGGGTTTCCTGGGAGACGAGGGTGGGGGCTGCATTCCTGTGAAAAGAACGTGCCGGGATGTAGAGATGGATCTGTATGATGGCCAATGGGACGTGGGGGCTGGAGAGCGGAAGAGGAGGGGGTTGGAAGGAGGGGCCAGGTTGGCTGCAATTTGAGTCAGAAATGTCGGATTCTGCTATGCTTAAAAATAAAATGTTTCATTAGACAGCTTGCGCTTGAGAATGAAGTTTATTCAAGATAGCACCGAAACCTGACATCTACCTTATTGGAAGGTTACATTAATAGAATATTGCAAGTCTGAAAATACTTCTCTGCCCTCCCCCACAGCTCCCCAAAAGCTAGGGAGGGTCTCTTCTACATCTCTTGCCCCACCCACATTCCTGCTACTGGCTAAGCTGCCTTTTATTGGACTGTTCCCTTGGCTGCATGATCTTGCCCTGTCTCCTAAGGTCATTCCCACATACCATTATGTAACGGTAGCATTCCCTGCCCCTGCTGTATGTTGCTGTACTTTTACTTTATTCAATAATTGCTTTCGATTCAGTCTTTTTTTGTGCTCATTTTCAGGATTGGAAAGACCATCAGCATATGTGTGGGCAGTCAACCGCAGTAACTGTTCAGACAGAAGAAGATCATGATACAGATAACGTGATTGAAAAAGTTATTGTCTAAAACCTCCTTTCTTCCAATTTCATGGATTGTGTGGTGCAGCAGACTGGCTGGACCAGCAATTCTTCTGTGAAGTTCTGTGATAAGCAAAATAAAATATAAATAAAACTCTTCACCGAGATGGCGAAGGCATAGTATTACTTGCATGTTGCTGGCCAACATATGAATTTTCTCTAACCAAGCAAAAAATTAAACCTTAAGGGGACAAGAGCATCAAGGAGCTCCACTGTTTTAAGGGAACTTCGGAAGCTGATGGATCTTTACAAGCTTTTCTACAAAGCTGCTATAAAACAAATGGGTATATTCAGCTGTTGCCTCCTGCTGCTCTGATGGATTATGGGAATTCTTTGAAGTATTTTGAAAATGTTATTTAAAGCAGCTTCTGGGTCTGCATCCTTTTAAGATTCCTCTGATGAAGTTTCAATAAAGATTATAACAGCAAAAGGTCTTTGTGATTCTTGTTCAAATATGAAGCAGTTCTACTTTTCAGTAAATTTAGTTTCCTGACGTGTATTAAATCTTAACTAAAACACATATGGAATCTGATTCTATTAATCAGATTCAGGGTATCTTCGAGACCGCCTTCTACCGCATAACTCCCAATGACCGGTAAGATCCCACAGAGTTGGTCTCCTCCGGGTCCCGTCAGCTAAACAATGTGGCTGGCAGGCCCGCGGGGGAGAGCCTTCTCTGTGGCTGCCCCAGCTCTCTGGAACCAGTTACCTCCTGAGGTCTGGATCATCCCCACCCTATTGGCCTTCCGAAAAGCAGTGAAGACCTGGCTTTTCTGGCAGGCCTGGGGCCGTTGATCTCGCTCTTGTGATCCGGCGAGATCCAGCCATGAATGGTGTGAATTAGTTTTAATGTTTTTAATATTTTTAATTTTAAAATGTTTTTTATAATGATTTTAAATGCATTGTGAGCCGCCCTGAGTCTTCGGAGAGGGGCGGCATACAAATTGAATTGATAAATATTTATTTATTTATTTATCAAATTTCTATACCGCCCTACTCCCGGAGGACTCAGGGCGGTAAACAGCCAAGATAAAATACAGATAATACAAACATTAAAAGTCCCTTAAAATTATTAAATATTTTGGCCAAAACACAGATTAAAACACCCAATTTATAAAACAAATCAAACGATTTAAAAAATTTAAAAGGGAGAGTTAGGCCATTATTACATTAACAAATAATGTAAAAGTTCTCCAATACGGTAAAAATTCTTTACAATGCCCACAGTGCTGGAAGCATTATGAACCTTTTGTAGTTGTTACATTGATAATGTGGAATATATGAATACCTATAGAGAATAATTATTCAATAATTAGATTAGTATTGCAGGAAAATTCAAAGCTGAAATCTCCCTTGTTGAGTTCAACATTCATACCCATATGGTCTTCTTTGTAAACATACAGAACTGTTTGGACCTTCCCTTCTTTCAATAATTTTTAGATACCTTTCTCTCCTCAGATTTTGTTGTGGTCTTCCAGCAAAGTAGCAGGACCCTGCTTTGTTACTCAAGATCAACCCAGATCAAGTAGATGCTGTTACTTGCTGGACCTATTAAAACAGGAGTCTTCAACTCCAAGCCTTGAGCCTTTTAGAACTGAGCTGCAGAAGTGGCGGGCAAGCACATACATGCATGCTCCATTTGCATGAATGGCTGGCATGCTTGCCCTCTGCTCGAGCAAATGAAGCTGCGCATGCACATATTTGCCCACGCTCGCATGGAACCATCCCCTCTCCTCCACCCGCTGGCCCAGAAAGCCGAAAAGGTTGGGGAACTCTGTACTAAATAATTACACTAACTGTCCATGGTCCTGAACCCTGTAGACTTCAAACTACAATCCTGTTATTCTGCTAGACTTTCTTAACAATCTACCACAATACAGAGTGGCATAAATAGCATTTTAACATTACTGAATTGACTGCTATTCCAGTAAAATGGTAGAATTTGTCCTATTGAGAAATGAAATAGCAACAATTGTACTTATTTGTCAGTCACATGCCACTAAGGACATGTAATTAAATCACAGCTGATTGCAAGAATACATAGGTAAATTACACTGTGGAATACTGTAAATCAGAAGCAATATAGAAAAAGTATTGAAGCTTTTGAACAGTGGTATTGTATGTAGAAGAGTTGAAAACTGGATATCCAAGAAAACAAATAAATGGATCATAGAACAAATTAATCCAAAATTCTCACTCAAGGCACATGTGATCAGGCTCAAATTATCATATGTGAAACGTGAAGAGCCAGTTCTCTTGAAAAGTCCTTAATGTTTGGTTAGGTGGAAAGGAAAAGAAGAGAATGACCAATAAGATGAATGTACTTGATTACAACGGTGATGGGGCACAGTTGGCAGATCTGAAGAGTCAGGTTGGAATAATCCTGGAGAAAGTCTATGTGGTTGTTAAGAGCTGACATTAACGTGATGATGCTTAAGCAATTTAAAACATCAGATTTGGTAAATTGATGGAATCAAAACAGTAATTTCCATCCAACATCATACGAATCTTTTTTCTTTTTCATCTTCTGTCTCAAATCTTGTTCCAGGGGGTCCATCAATTATCTAGGATTTCTTTGGAAGACATGCAGTCAAACAGGACATAAGTCCTTCAAGGCACCTTTTCTGCTGTTGGAAGAATGGTATGGCTGTTTTCTTATAATTTTGATTTTCATACTTCTGATTATATAGATGAAAAAAATATCTCGGACATCTTTCTGGAACTCAGTGATCAAATCATTAAACATTTGCACCACGTTTACAGCTTTCTGTTTGTGCTGCCAAAAATAAAAGCAAAGGTGCAACTGTGTATTTCGTCAGCATCTCACTTGAGGAGAGAGAATCTTATATCCTAGCAAGAAGACTAATTTTGAAAATAGCACTTCTTGAGTGTTAAAAATCACAATAGATAAAAAAAAAAAGTACTGGTTTTAAGCCAAGAAGAAGAAAAAACTTTATAGAGATATTGATGCTATTTTGTGGAAAGTGTTTCTGGCCAATCACAGAAATGTGTTTATAGATCAATCATGTGTGTAAGCAACAACACAGATAAATATAATAGCTCTAAATGTCTACCTAAGCAAACATTCAAACGGAGGTATGAGAAGACTTGTTTCAATGCAATGTTGGTAAATGTCATCATGATGGATTTTGTAAATGTAGCAAATATATATTTTCAGACATATATTTGCCATGCTATAGTCAGATTAAATTATCCTCATCATCATAATGGTTTTCTGATCCCATGGTACATAGAGCGTGATCAAATTGATTATGCATCTTATCCATGCCTTTGACATTGAGCAGCACTCTCTGAGCCAGCGAAATGCACAAACTATTATAGCTATGACAAGCATGGTCGTTTTTCCAGCCCTATCTCTGTTTTCTCAGTTTCTAACTCATCACATCCTTTGCCAAAGATTCTAGGCATTAAACATCTTCTGATGGTTAATTATTTTTACAAGTGAGGGGGGGAAAACCCTAGACTCTATCAGAGCCATCAAAACATGTATAAATTCTTACAGCATCACTCAGGAGATACATCTACATTTCTTTGGGGAAAAATGCTGTCATTATTGTGGGACAACCATCACAAATGCTTTTCTGAATAAATGTTCTGCTTGAATGGAGGACAGATGGCAAATCCCAAACGGAGTATTTTTCTCAGTCAATTTAGAAGATTATCATGAAGTCTAACAAACAATGCATTGGCTTCAGGCCATTTTTGCATTCTCACCAAATATGAAGGAACTGCTGTCTAGAAAGCAGTATTTTTATCAAGTGAAAAAAAATTGAAGCACACAACTATGTAATAAGAAATAAAGCTTTATTAAACTATACAAAGTCAATAATTGGTCTGGCTCTTTCCCCAGTGTAATATACTCTCCTTTCTTCTTGGTTCAGTTCTAGACAAAGAATCCAGCAGGATTAGCAGAAGATGTGCAAAACTTTGCGGAAGTAATTCCTAAATTCAGTGTTGAAGATTGTGTAGATGATAGGGTTGAGGGCACTGTTGACATAACCCAGCCATGTGACAATGCTGATTACTTGGCCAGACCTGATACAGGACTCACAGAGAGCTCTGGTTATGTGCACCACAAAGAAAGGAGTCCAACAGAAAAGGAAAGCACCTTTGAAAAAGAGAGAGGGGAAAAATGAGCCAGTTCTTCCTTGCGTATGTCTTATTTTCTCAAAAGTAAACATGTCAATTTTGAACAGTGGCATGTACAGTACATTTTTTAAAAAATGAGGGAGGAAAAAAATCCATCAAGGTTACCTTTTAATAATGTGAGGTTGCCATTTCTGCTCTGCCTAAATTCTTTGCATTTAAGAATGCTGAAATATATTTAATTTCCCCGTTCTTGCTGCATCTGGTGTCCAGTTTAAATGTACCTAGCATTAGCTGAATGAAACACCAGCAGACACCTCCTACATCAGTTTGTATATAAATTCAAGGTCCCTTGGAATGCATATTTATTAAAATGGATACTTGCATATCTATTAACATATTAATTGATGCACTAGGACCTTAGGGATCCTGGGGTCAGGAAGATACAGTGCAGCTGGTGCGTAAGTGCTGTCCGTGTAGGCTCTAGTAGCATCTGCATTTACCTCGCTGGAATCTTAGGAAACAGATCTTTCTGCAAAAGCTGAAACAAGGCACACAAGGTGGTTGGTCAGGTTTTTCTGCAATGCAAAAACATCTTGCCAAACTGGGCTACTAGAAACTATTTCTGGGACCCCAAAATGCAGAATATACCTAGAAAGTACTCTTAAGTTTCACTATATTTTGCTGATCTTGAAGGGCACTTCACGGGTTAAAACCAGAAGGGTCAACATATTCCAACATATGTGCCAGGTTAAACACAATATCATTAAATAGAAGCACATGAGAAGCAGAGAGGCCTCACAATAAGGAGGGAATAGTTACCTCTTCTCCAGCAGATGACTGGCTAAAGCGAGTTAAGCAGGTGGGTGTTGACTGGCAAGGGATGGGTAGAAAGTGTATTTATGGGCCTCTGGCATCTACGAGCCTCTTCCTGTGATGAAATGTAATAAGGAGATGGATTCCCAGGAGAGAGGAAGCACATTCCAGATGACTAAGAGGCAACTCAGTCTGGATGTTGTGCGAAAGAGGGTGAAGACAGTCCCTCCCTAATAGTTTACAGAATATATTGTAGGTGCAGGTAGCAGAGTCCTCAATCTGGCAAGATTTTGTCTATAGGCTTGAAAACAATAAAGAACTCGGCTCAGAAGAATCACCATGTGTCAATTTTAGGTCTGACCTGCCACTCTCAATAACTTTGCTTGCTCTTTATCATACCATCTGTTGTTCCACCTTTGCTTCACTTCCAGAGCATGCTCCATCTTCAGTGGGCAGTTTGGGGGAAGGGGAGCATTTTATCTCTAAAGAAAAGTACTATCTTTCTCAAGCCTCCAGGGATACCCCAAATCAGCAGATAACTTTCCTGTTACGCACCAAATGTGCATGCAATCCCAATGGAAGTCCTAATTCTGTGTTGTGGTCTGCCAGCAGCCTGCGGAGCTGGCAGCAGAGTCAGACAGTGAGGAGACTGGGGAGGAACATGGGCCAGTCCTGGAGTCTGGGGAAGGCTCGGATGAGGGCTCTGCATTGGAGGCAGAGATGGGGCCAGGGCCATCTGGGAGTTATGTGCAGATTCCAGAGCCTCCAGAGTCGGACATCAGAGAGGCAGAGGAACAGGGGGAGCCTGTTCCTAGTGTGCACATACGCAGAGCTGTCAGAAGGCAAGAACAGTTAAACAAAAGGGAGAATTTAGGAGTAAGGCTTGGAGTTGATTGGCCCCTCCCATAAAACATAAAGGAAGAGCAAAGGCACATGGGCCTTTGCAGGAAGCAAGGTTGCGAAGCTCCATTTTTTATTCTGTTTCCATATGACCTTGCCAAGATACTTGCCAATTAGGTCTTTGGCAGCGTGTCAAAGAAGATAAAGGAAGCCTAGGTCAGAACAGTCTGTGTGAGATCTCAGGGAAATCTCAGTTCTTGAGCATTCAAGAAACGCTGCCTGGTTGTCTTCCTGTAGCTGCTACAGGGCATGCCAAGAAGGTAAGAGAGGAAGAGCCTGGCCTTATTGGAAAATTGACTTTCCTCCCTGGCGGGACGTTGCAAAGCAGCTGGAGGCTCTTGCTTTGGCAGCACTTTGTAGGAAATAGCACAAATCATTTTGAATTCTGCGGTTGCAAGCACATCCCTCAATTTATACAAAGCTCAGCAGAGCACTTCTAAAAACTCATTTGTTTTATTCTTCAGTTGCCTTGTTTAATTAGATGTGGATCCTCTTTTCTTGCTTGATATAGGACCCAGCGATCCTTGGGTTGTTTGGGGACAATTTTTAAAAAATCAGTGAAAATCATATTTTTGAAAGGAATAAAGGAGTGTATGTATGGAGGATTCGGCCTTAAATTGAATGTTAGTTTTCATGGTATTTCTCTTTTTAATCTGTCTCTGTAGCTGGATGGGTGGGGAATTATGGTGTTGCCGATTCTGGAAAGATGTAGACCCAGTTCTCAACATGGAAAGTAAAAATCTGAAATCATAGTAACTTGCAGTAATATTGAGTCAAGGGGGAAAAGGTGATTTGCAGCTTAAATGGACACACTTATTGTACTTCTTAGTGTTTCTTTTTTTAATCAAACACATCTTTTACTGCGATCACATGGTTGCTTCTTTGCCAAATTACCAAGAATGCAACATATGTGTATACACTGGCAACCTGAGTATGCGTACATAGGCTACTGGGGGTTAAGTCATATTGACACTACACACACAGACACACATATGGTCCATTCTTACATACTATGTATGTCATAGTTTCTGCATTATAATGCATGTTCCACTTCCCTACCTTCAACACTTATATTCACCCATGTGTACTCTGAATATCCTTCGCTTTTGCATCTGGATTTCTGCAAGCTCTAAACAGCATATCCAGGGAAGACAGCAGAGCATTTTTCAAATGCAATTCTTCCAAAGGGAGGCTCTGGTGTGGAAATGATTGTAAGGAGCTGGAGACCTTTAATGTTGCTAATATTCAGCTGTAAAGTGGTTAATACATCATCTAATTTTCATTAAGATGCAAAGACAGGCTGGATGTACTCCGATCCACAACCACAAATGGCTTATCCAGGCTTTTGCTGCAATGGAATGATTGTGCAGAGAGCGAGCCACTACAGAGGCGTCTCTTTTCACCAGGGGTGGGTTCTAAATTTTTTTACTACCGGTTCTGTAGGCGTGGCTTATTTTGTGGGCGTGGCTTGATGGTCATGTGACAATTATTTAGGATTTAGCAGAGGTACTGGTCTACCAGGCTTTTAACTGCTTGCAGAGCTGTACTGATCTACCCATTTATTTTTGCAGGCTCTGATCTACTCATGTATTTTTGCAGGCACTGGTCTACCCATTTATTTTTGCAGGCACCAGTCTACTCATTTGTTTTCTTTTAACACTGATCAGCTGTAGGGCGGCCCTTTGAAGCTCCGTGGCAAGAGTTTAAACAGTTTTTTTTCCCTCTAGCCATCAGCTGGGACTCAGGAGGCAGCAATAGATTGGGGTGGGGCCAAATAAAAGGTAAGAATAACACAGGGGGGGGGCAGAACCGGTTCAGTGACATCGTATCGTCACCGCTACCGGCTCGGTGGAACCGGGCGGAACCGGGAGGAACCCACCATTGCTTTTCACGGACCTGAGTGCAAAACACCGAAGAAAAGAGCAAAAGCATCTCCTTCTCATAACAGTTCTTATATTTGGTCCTTCCTCCTTCAGCATCACATCTCCAGATCTGCAAAACCTAGCCTGCTTTCTGACCGGGGAAAGCAAATTCTTGTAAGAAGCTCTACTGCCAAAGTTGCAAAATTAAAATGGCATTTTCATATGCAGCAGAAGCCCTTTTCCATTCACAGCTCTGCTCTTTAACTGAACTGAATGTGGCTGACAAAATCTTGGCTGCATAAATCCAAAATATTTCTAAATGGCAGTAAGAAAGAAAACTAGAAGTTATTGGTCAAAATGGTTAGTCACTCTCTGTTGGTTGTCCAACATATAGGCAGTCCTCAACTTACGACCACAATTGAGCCCAACATTTATGTTGCTAAGTGAGGCATTTGTTAAGTGAGCTGTGTCCCATTTTACAACCTTTCTTGCCACAGTTGTTAAGTGAATCATGATAGTCGTTAAAGTTAGTAACACAGTTTTTAAAAGAATTTGGTTTCCCCATTGACTTTGCTGGTCAGAAGGTTGCAAAAGGTGATCACATGATCTTGGGACACTGCAACCGTCATAAATATGAATCAGTTGCCAACTATCTGCATTTTGATCATGCGATTATGGGGATGCTGCAACGATCGTGTGAAAAATGGTCATAAATCACTTTTTTCAGTGACATTGTAACTTTGAATGGTCACTAAATGAACTGAGGTAAATTGAGGATTACCTGTATTCTGTGTTCTCCTGTACTGTATATCAAAGGGAATCCTGAACTTTTGTTCGATCATTGAATCAGACTGCTTCTCCGGGGAGTCTGATATAAGGAGGATTTGGCAAGTCAAGCAATTTAAAGAAAAAGAACAGGAGAGGAAAAATAAAATTCACTGTGTAGATTTTAAGTTGTTGCAAATCCTCCTGAAAATGAGTGGAATCTGTTTCTTAGTGCCTATGCTGCTTCTACAGAAATTTGGAACATGTTGAGAATAAGATATTACAGCATAAAGTCAGCTATGTAAAGGTGAAAATTAACATAACTCATTGTTCTGTACTTTCATTTTAAAAAAGAGAGAGAAGGATCTAAAGTTCTTATTGTTTTCTCCTTTGTCCATTCTTAGCAAATAAAAAGCCCAGTTGTTCTGCTACTCCTCAATGCAGTTTGAAATCTCTATATAGCTTGAATGACACAATCAGTTCATAAGCAGAATATTATACAGGACTGAGATCCCTGATTTTTCTTTTTTCTTTTTCTCCAGAGAACAATGTGCCAAAACCTGCAGGGGAAATTTGGTTAGATCCCAGAGGAGTTAAGTCCAACTAGAATGTCTGAAAAAGTTACTTGGTGAAAAAAATCCTACTGCCTTTTCAGATTATCCTCAAAAGATCAATAAATTAAGGAAGGACTAATTAACTAATCAGACCAACTGGGCATCTAGCATAGATGGGAAAAATTGTTTATCTGAATTGAGATGTCTGAACAACTATGGGTGCCCAACTATGGGTGCCTAAAGAAAAAAGCCTGTGGCTTCAGGCCCTCTCCTGGGTTTGACCCTACTGGGACAGAAAATGTTGACTGCCAAGATGTCTTTTATGAGCTAGCTTCATCTCTGTTTCAAGAATGCAAACACTCACCTCCAATCGGTTCCTCTCAACTTCTGATACATAGGAACTTAAGCAGTGAACTGCTGGATCAGGCCTATCTAGTCCAGCGGTCAGTTCTCACAATCGCCAACCAACTGCACAAAAACTAGGACTAAGCAAAATCTGAAATGTCATCTGCTTGTCATTTTTATACTCACTCATATTTGTTTACTACAGATAGTCCTCGATTTACAACCGTTCGTTTAGAGAGCTTCATTCAAAGTTACAACGGCACTGAAAAATGTGACTTAGGACCATTTTTCATAGGTATGATCTCTGCAGCATCCCCGTGGCCACATGATCAAAATTCAGATGCTTGGCAACTGGTTCATTTTTATAACCATTGCTGTGTCCCAAGGTCATGTGATCACCATTTGCGAACTTCTGACAATCAAAGTCAATGGGGAAGCCAGATTCACTTAACAACCGAGTTACAAACTTATCAACTGCAGTAATTCACTTAACAATTGGGGCAAGAAAGGTAATAAAATAGGGCAAAACTCGCTTAACAATTGTCTGACTTAACAACAGAAATTTTGGGCTCAATTGTGGTCATCAGTCAAGGATTACCTGTACTATCCTTTGGAATTGCTCTGGTGCATTAACAATAAATCCCTGATTTATTGGGATACTATACTGGAAGAAGGAAGATCCACCTACTATTGAGGAATGGACATTAAAAGTTGTGCATTTGGCAGAAATGGCAAAAATTTCATCATACCTTAAAGACCATTCAAATGAGAGATATATATCGGAATGGAGAAAATGGATTGATTACATACAGAAGTATCCGAATAAGAAGATTCATATAGCTTATGAATGAAATAATATTAAGTAGTTTATGTTTGTTTTTTCTGAGTTATAAGGAGTTAAGGACCTAGGGAGAATATGAAATGTAATAATTTGTTAGCACATTTTAGTTCTTGGTTTGTGAATGCTATACCCTGTGCTCGTTCTGGGAAGTCTAGGGAGGGGGGTGGGGGGAGGGAGGGGAAGGGAGGGTGGGAAGGGGAGGGGGGGTTGAGGGGGGAAGGGTGGGGGGGTGAAAATGTTTGTATTTTTCATAAAACTTTTCAATAAATAAAAAAAACAAACAATAAATCCCAGAAAATCCATTTCCATTAATGCCTAATTCAATCCATGATAATACAGATGTTTCCAGAATTATTTGGCAGCCTGATAGGATGAGGCTATTGTAGTCAATAGCCTCACCCTACCAAGCTGTTGAACAATTCTTCCTACTTCCTTTTGAAGAACATTTTTGCCTTACTCTATAAGTCTCCTAAAAAACGCCATTTTATTGGACTTTTTCCTACTAAAAACAGAGAATCTTTGCATGGTACCATTTTTACTCTTCAATCCCTCCAAACCATTATGAAGCTATAGCAGAAGTATAATAAATGTCTTAGTGTGGGAATGTGGTAGTGGAACAAGATTTGGGTCTTTTAGCGGGAAAGCTGGCACTTAGCAGCCCAACTATACAGGGGTGAGGAATGGGTGCCTGTGTGTACAGTACAAACACACACGTATACTATGAAGGGAGTTTCAGAGGACTCAGTCTTCCGAGGATGATCAGATGTGCAACACTCACTTCGTCCTTTTGGAATTATCTCTCTAGTCAGCCACTAAAGTGCAATTAAGAGACACAAAATGAGGAACAAAAAAAGCCAGTTTCTGTGTCATGCTGTACTTATCAGAATGCCAAATGTCTCTCTCTATGCATCACTGTATCCTATTTTTTTTTATACCCTGGTTTTACAGATGTCTTGATCTGAAATTGAACTGTCTGATGGTTTACAACCCTGAAAACCATTTAATGTTTTATACTCACCAACCACAACTGGAAGCACCTTCATGGCCTTCCTTTCCCTGCCATTGATTTTGGCTGGCTTCCTACTGAGTTCTCCATTCGGTGCATATTTGATGTGTGGATAGGACATAGTTTGAATGCCATTGTTCTTGTAATCCCTGGGTAAAGTGCAATCGGAGCAGGCATAGGGGTTAAATTCCTCTGTCTTGATATCCTCCTGGTTCTTCTCAATGACAGGCGGTGGACCGTATACCTGCCTATTGCCCAGATAAATGCTACTCTTCAGCTTGGCTTTCCGAGCCTCTTCCCAGCGCCTAAGTCCATGGAATATGCCGCAGTAGAGGACCAGCATGACAGGACAAGGAATGAAGAAGGAACAGATGGAGGAATATACAATATAATTCTGATCCTCCAGACGACAGAAAGATGGATCCCGGTTTGGAACATTGTTGAGACCAAAGATAATTGGGGATGCCACAGCAAAAGCGAAGATCCAAGTGGTGGAGAGGAGGATCAGTTGACGCAGGTCAATCTGTCGTCGATTGTAGTTCAGTGGGACAGAAACAGCAATGAACCTGGATGACAGAAAACAGGGTGTAACCATGGGGTTCCTTGTGGAACCAGTTTACTTCATGATGATAAAACAGAACAAACTTTAAAACTAGAAGATGGAGCCGGGCAATATAGGATGTTTCAGGTATTACTGGTTTGAAATTCCCATTTTTCTTCTCATACTGTCCATTCATTATTTAGGAAATGCAGCATTATTGTATGGCTATGCCACCACAAGGCAAACACAAAAGGTTCTTTTACCCCTATTTCTCCATTCTGATATATCAATATTTCCCTGCGCAAGTTCTTTGCTCATCCAATTACCTTTGGCAATTACCAATTACGCTTGCCTGCTCTATGGAACATTTATTCTCCTCATAATGGCTCCATGATACTGCTTCTCCACCTTCAATCAATCCATACTGTTGGTAAAGGACAGTTGCAACTACACTGACTAACATGTTCTAAAAACTGGGCCTCTCCAGAAGAAAATGGGTTCTAATTTAATAGGTCTCAACCTCATTTATTTAGCTTATAAACTCTGAGCTAGTGAAAGAAAATTTGACCTGATAAGATGAAAACTTGGTTAGAAATCAACAAACATATGGTAATCCCTAAAGTTTGAACTGGAAAACCCTTTCTGTCCATTAAATATGTCTATCTTATTTCCCTGCTTTGTATTTCAATTTCTTTTCAGAGTCGATAGCCTTGTATTTTGGTTTATTTTTCAAATAAAATACAGCAAGTATTACTATCAGCTGAAGGGCCTTGTTGTGCAGCCAGGTGAAACTGTAAATAATATCAATAGTCCCCCATATCAGGTAAAGTCATTTCTTTCAAATGCACAATAAACTTTCTGCTAGTCCCCGGCAGTGCTCCTATTTTTATTCTTCTTTTTCCTTAATGCAGACTGACTGTTATATATGCAAAATGATTTAAAAGCATTTGTGCGTGTCATCAGCACTCTTTCACAGTTAACATTCAAGATGTGAAATTTGGGGACAATGGAGCAGATGGTGGTATAAAGTGCAGGGGCAATGTACAAGTTCCTACCCAGAGCAGGACATTTTTAGCATCTGGAGGAATAAATTCAAAAGAGGTTTTGATTGAATTGATTGTCATGGCCCCAAGTATTTTTATCCCTGTACCACAAATGAGTATATGAATCACAAATGGGCAATATCTTTATTAAAGATAGTGTGTGTGTGTGGGAAATTCATATCTCTATGCAAAGACCTGAATGATCACTAGACATCAGCAAGATGAAAACACTTTCATTTCATCTAGAGCATGGGTGTCAAACTCGCGGTGTCACCTTGCCATCATGTGATGTATCGCTATGTTTTTTCCCTTCGCGGATCTGGGGTGGGCATGGTTTGCGCATGACGCATCTGGCCTGCAGGCCGCCAGTTTGACACCCCTGATCTAGAAGTTAACTGGATTTTTGAAACTCTGATATGGTAGCCCAAAGTAAAGTTTCCTTTAAGTCAACCTCAACTCTTGATAATTTCAAGAAATATGTCTCTATGTGGCTTTCTTGGCAACAAAATAGAAATGTTTTTTTCTTACTCCTTCCAAGGTATGCTTCCATCTTCCCATGTCTACAGGGTGATAAGATGCTTTCATCATCTGGTCTACAGAGGTTTCCTGGAATTCTCTGATTCAAATACTAACTAGGCTCAGCTCTGTCCTCCTTTCTGAGATCATTGAAATGGGCATGAGATTTGTGTTCCCAAGAACGCTTCATCAGAGAAGTGATTACAAAAAGTAGAGGAAGTGGAGGAAAAGGCAGAGTCTAAAAATTAAGCCAGATATTTCAGGTCTCCAGGTTAAAATCACTCTCAAGAGAGACTGCAGTATGAATGCTTTAGTGGATTAATAAGTGTTATATCAAGCATTTAGATAAAAAAAGAAAGAATTACCTCTACAGGTTTGAAAACACAAAGGCCATTAATCCTAAACTTATCTCTTGGGCAAAGCAAACCCTACATGTGACATGCTCTAACTCCAAGTGCAGGTCTAACCAAAAGGCAGATGCATGGGGAAGACAATGTGAATTTCCCAATTGAACAGGATATCCCCCCCCCCCCCGCCGCCATTTAAAATGTTGATACAAATCGTCAGTTCCTTGGTTGGTAGCCACAGAAAAAAGAATTGTCATTGCAGCTTTCTTAGTTTTAATTCATTTTAATTCAAAAATTATTTGAAAGCAACCATCTTTGAGAGTAATGACTACAATGGTCTTTGGTTGGTATGGGTAAGTTTATATTCTATTCTTTTAGCTACCGTCTATAACTCAAAGAGAAAAATGCCACTCTTCCCCTTCTTTGCTCAACGGTGACAGGAGGAAAACATTAGAAATGATGTTCAGATTTTCTTGCACTAGAAGCAGCTTTGTCCGATTAGCTGCACAACGGGAAAAAGTTGATGGGGAGCCTAGCGACAGATAGGATAAAACAAAATAGTCAGAAGCAATGTATAGGCAATAAACCACCTATGTTTCCTAGAGTTTCTCAGTACCTCCTTGCCTTTATTTGGTAGGCCCTGAGTTCTTTCCAATAGGAAAATCCCAAATGCAATTATTGGAAGAATTTCTTCAGCTTCTGTTAGTGAGAAGGGTGTTGATCATGTCTGAATTTGCCTTTTCTGAATAGAATATTGCTTTATGGACTGCAAAAAGCTTGCCTTTATAAAGTAGTGGGTGTTTTAGGGGAGAGCATTGTTCTCTCTACATTTTCACTCAATAGACCTAAATTATATATTATAGACAAAAATGAGTTATTAGAACAAATATATTCTTCAGTCTGCAAACTCTGAATTTTACAATTCACTTTACAGAGTGAATTGTAAAATTCACTTTACACTTTAAGAGCCTTGGTAGTACAGTGGTCTAAGGCACCCTGTTATTAAGCTCGTTATTAAGACCAGCTGCCTGCAATTACTGCAGGTTCGAATCTCGCCAAGGCTCAAGGTTGACTCAGCCTTCCATCCTTTCTAAGGTAGGTAAATTGAGGACCCAGTTGTGGGGGCAATAAGCTGACTTTGTATAAATATACAAAAGAATGAAGGCTATTGCTTAGCGCATTGTAAGCCGCCCTGAGTCTCCGGAGAAGGGCGGCATATAAATCAAAATTTAAAAAAAAAAAAAAACCAATATCCCACATACACTAGAGAAATGGATGTACAGATATATAACTGGTATTGGAAAATTGAAAAAAATATGGAAAAAAATAAGAAAAAAATATGTATGTTGATTAGAGAAATCAATGCATTTTTGTACATTCTAAAGCCAGAATATACAAAACAAATACATAGTAAATGTTCAGAGAGTGGATACTGATTGATCTATCTACATCTACTATAGATGCTGAATAAATGAGAAATTTGCAGTCCTTATGGATGGCAGCATTAAACTTACATTTCCTCAATTTTTCTAAAGAACCCTTCTAGAGTTGCTTCAGTGGCTGAGGCAGCTAAAAAGCTGATTAAATAAATATGTGTGTATGTATGTATGTATAATAAGTGTTAGAACGGAAAGAGTTGGGAAACTTAGCATCTAAATGCCATAATGAGCAGAATTTCTTACCGATCCACGCTGATAGCACAGAGATTGAAAATGGAGGCAGTGCATAGCATGACATCCATGGTCATCAAGGCATCGCATAGGACTGGGCCCAAAGACCAAACACCTCCCTGGAACTGAAGAAAAATCAGTGAATGCATTCAAAGTTCATACTTGAGTGTTCCCTTCACTATATTCTTTAGCAACAATTCTAGTTGGATTCTCAGGTTGTGCCTCTGCTAGTTTTCTTTGAGAAGATCCTCTTCAATGGCTGGCACTATCAAGAGGGTTGCCAGGTTGCAATCAGGCATTCAGTTGTAGCTCTAAAACCAGCAATCAAGTGGTAGTGGTGGGTGAAATAGCAGCATCTCCTCCCACACATGCCTGTCTCAGTGCAATCATTCAGCCTTCTTTGTTGCTATACATCATACTAGGAGGCTTATATACTGAAACAAATGAGGGGACGAAAGAGATAGATGGAAGACGCAGGGGGGAAAAAACCTCACCAAACTTGAAAATCAAATATCCAGGATGTGGTATAAAACAATTTTATTCCTGGACCATGAACCACTATGAGTATCAAATGTCGTGACTCAGAAGGAGAAAGATTTCTCCAGAGGAGGCACACACAAAGCCAGTACAGAGATAGCTAAAACATTTATTTTTATCCGTAGCAACTGCAGCACACCTCTATAACCAATAGTAAATACCAAATCATTTCACGATAAAAGCATTCTAGAATCTTCCGTTATTACTGTAATGTGCACTGATGGCGCCTCTATCTGTTTGTAAAATCTTGGATTATATTAGGAAGAAAGTAAATCACAAAGCCCTGTGCTAATATCACTTAATCCTCACCCTCTTGGTGCTATAAATATCACCTAGGAATGATGTCAAGAGAGGTGGCTTATTTACACCTTATAAACTGTAGCTTCATCATTCCTTAACTTTCAGTCTGATTGAGGGGTCAGGCTAGGAGAGGGCAAATGCCTCAGTATAAGCATTTATTAACTGCCTGAAGATTATCCAGCTGTGACCTGTGGTTCCCCAGAAGGCCAGGAACAACTTTTCTTTTAAAAAATAAAAGAAGACTTAAGTAAAGTGAGATAGTCGAAATTTGCTCCTTACTTCATTTCTGACAGCTTAAGCAAGCCACAATGAGCTGTAATGATAATAACAATGTCAAGCAACTTAACAACATACTGCAAGGAAGTGAAATTGAAGATTGGTTAACATCTGGCAAAAGCTACCTGATAATAAAAGATCCAACAAAAGGATCTAGGCAACTATAGGCTAAGTACCTGCTTACGGACAACTTTCAAATTGCTAATTGGTTGGTGGCTGATGCAGTCCGACAGCATCTGGTTGAAAATAATCTCTTTTACCTGAGCAGAAGGGAAACTGCAGAAGGGAAACTTGAACAAAATATCAACTCCCAATTGACTAGATCATTTTGGAAAACTGCAAAAGGAAGATCAACCTAAATGTAGCTTGAATTGATTACAAAAAGACATTCAATTCTCTGCTGCATGATTTTTTTTTTTTAAATTGATTTATATGCCGCCCTTCTCCGGAGACTCAGGGTGGCTTACAATGCGTTAAGCAATAGCCTTCATACTTTTGTATATTTATACAAAGTCAGCTTATTGCCCCCACAAACTGGGTCCTCAATTTACCTACCTTAGAAAGGATGGAAGGCTAAGTCAACCTTGAGCCTGGTGAGATTCGAACTTACAGTAATTGCAGACAGCTGGTGTTAATCACAATGCTTTTAGTCTGCTGAGCCACCATGATTGGACGATTAAGAGCGTAGAAATAATAGGAGTCAGTAGTTATGGAGTTTCTCAGTCATCTAGGTCATGGTTGTCCCAAATATGCTTTTTTAAAAGGCAATTGGACTTTCTGGTTTTTCTTTGAAGATGTTTCGCTTCTCATCCAAGAAGCTTCTTCAGCTCTGACTGGATGGTGGGGAATGAGAAGCAAAACGTCTTTAAAGAAAAAACAGAAAGTCCAGTTGCCTCTTGAAAAAGCACCTTTGGGATAGGAGTCAGTAGAAACATTAGAAGCTTTGTGCAAAGATTGAAGGCACAATGGAAGACACAGTTGCTGTTCAATGATGATAGACTAGTAGAGGTTAATATCAAGAGAGGAATATTTCAAGGAGACTCCCTATCACCACTATTGTTTGTCATTGCATTGATTCCTCTTTCAACAATACTGAAGAAATTAAGGTATGGCTATTAAACATCCTTTACATGGATAATCTAAAGAAAAATATAATCTGAAATAGAATTGCTAGTGTTCAACAGGGTGAAATGCTCCCTGTTTGGACAGGATCTACCAATCCGGTAGCGATGGCGGCGGGTGGTTCGGAGAATCGGTAGCAAAAATCCCTGTGGGCCCCCCCCCCCCAATGCCAAGCTGAGCCATGGGATCATCAGAGGCTTTTTTTTTAACTTTTAAAAGCATTTTTTCTACAACCTCTTCAGCTGAAAAAATGCTTTTAAAAGTTGGGATCGTCAGAGGCTTTAGAAAAAAAAAGAAAGCCTCTGCCGATCAGGCAAGTCAGCTGGGATCATCAGAGGCTTTAGAAAAAAAAGAAAGCCTCTGCCGATCAGGCAGGTCATCTGGGATCATCAGAGGCTTTAAAAAAAAGAAAGCTTCTGCCGATCAGGCAAGTCAGATGGGATCGTCAGAGGCTTTAGAAAAAAAAAGAAAGCCTCTGCCGATCAGGCAGGTCAGCTGGGATCATCAGAGGCTTTAAAAAAAAGAAAGAAAGCTTCTGCCGATCAGGCAAGTCAGCTGGGATTGTCAGAGGCTTTAGAAAAAAAAAGAAAGCCTCTGCCGATCAGGCAGGTCAGCTGGGATCATCAGAGGCTTTAAAAAAAAGAAAGAAAGCCTCTGCCGATCAGGCAAGTCAGCTGGGATTGTCAGAGGCTTTTCAAAGCATTTTTTCTGCAACCTCTTCGGCCAAAGAGGTTGTAGAAAAAAATGCTTTGCAAAGTTAAAAAAAAAAAGTTGGCCACGCCCACCCGGTCACATTATCCCCCCCCCCAAGCCATGCCCACAGAACCGGTAGTAACAAATTTTACATTTCACCCCTGCTGTTCAACCCTATCTGTATTTACAGCCAAGATATTGCAGTGGAGTTTGGACTGGACAAATCAATAGGGCAAAAATAGTGAAAACTGAAGGAATCAAGATGCTATATGGAAATAACATCAAGAGTTTGGATGAAGACGATCAAATACCTGGGCATCCTACAAACTGAGAACATCCAGTTGACTGAAGTTGTGAAAAAGCTTAGAAGTCAATACATCATGAGACTAAAAAAGATTCTAAAATCCAAACTCATTGAAAGAAATACCATCAAGGCAATTAGCCCTGGACAATCTCAATCATTAGATACACAGCTGGAATAATGGACTGGACTCAAGCAGAACTAAAGGTTCTGGATAGTAAAACCAGAAAAATAATGACAATGAATCATGCCTTTCATCCATGAAGCAATGTTGACAGATTCTATTTAGCAAGGAAAATAGGGGGGCATGGAATCTTGCAAATATATAAAACAGTTGAAGAAGGAAAAAGAGCATTGGAAGAATATCTGAAGGAAAGTGAAGATGATGCACTGAAGCTAGTGTACCATGAAGACTTATGAACAGAGGAAAGACCAAACATTTGGCCTATAAGAAAGACAAAATGAAGAATAATATAGAAATATTAGAAATACGGCAAGGCAAAGTATTACATGGCCAGTAGATAGAAAAACTAACAGGCAAATAACAAGACCTGGCAATGGCTAAGAACAAGAACGTTGAAGAAAGAGACAGAGGGGCTAATTCTGGTTGCATAAGATCAAGCCTTAAGAACAAATGCATACAAAGCCAGAATTGAGACAACAACAAATGAAAACAAATGCTGCCTCTGCAAAGAAGCTGAATAAACAGTGTGCATCTAATTAGCTGCTGCAAGAAGATCTTACAGACTGACTACAAACAATGGCAACATAAAGTAGCATCAATGGCACATTGGAATATCTGCAAAAAAATACCACTTGTCTGCAAGCAAGAACTGGTGGGAGTAGTAATAGAATATGAAGAAGCTAAAGTACTCTGGGACTTTACAATTCAAACAGACAAGCACTGCCACATCACACCTCAGACTTAATAACAATCAAAAAGAAACACAAGAAAACCTGGATAGTGGACATGGCAATACCTGGAGACAGAACAGAAGAGAATGAATTGGAGAAAATCACAAAATACAAAGGCCTGCAAATAGAAGTAAAACCAATGTGGCAAAAGAAAGCAAAAATAGTATCAATAATAATAGGTGTCTTAGGTGCAATTCCAAAATATCTGGAGCACCACTTGAACACCATTGGCATTAGCAAAATCACCATCAATCAATTGCAAAAGGCAGCTTTATTTGGAATAACTTATATCTTGCAACAATATCTTTAACACTATGCAGTAACATCTGCCTAGCCTAGGTCATTGTGTAGGATAGGGGGATAAAAATGCCAAATCCAGTCTAAAACAGCTGGCTAACTGTGTGTGACCAATAATAATAATAATAATAATAATAATAATAATAATAATAACAACAACAACAACAACAACAACAACAACAACAACAACGCCACCTGACCCCCAGTGACTCTGGGCAGTTAGTGGAATACCAGCGATGCAGGTTAAAATGTAATGATTTATCATCATCCTTAGGCCCTGTGCAGAGCCTAATGGGCAGCAAGTGCTTTCCAGCAGTTTTGATCATTCGCAGCATCTTCAGCATTGTCCCAAGGGACATTAATGATCTCAAGGATCTTCCTTAACTGTTTGATGCCAAGTTTTCTAAGGCCAGCCTCATTTCGTCTTTTCTCCAGGAAGTATCTGAAATAGTGGAATTTTTGGATGCTTTACATTACGTCTTTAGCATACGTAATGTAAAAGTATAATGATTAAAAATATAATATTCATTTCTTATCCAAGCCTAACTCTAGTGAAACCATGACTTTGACTCATGAAGAATCATAAAGATTCAGTCATCTTTCAGGAAATACAAAGTTTGAGATTTCCCATTTTAAATATTAGCAGACAACACACAAGCATGTGATCAAACACACACTTTTCTA